CAAATATAGAATACATCATTCTTTTTTAAAATTTTAATTTGACAACTGTAACAATGAAAAATTGAATACCTATGAATCCAGAGTTGCTAAGCAGTTAAAAATATATGACTTGTTGAAATTTTTCTCCATCAAGTCAACTTCCCGCCAAATTGTGTTCTTGGTGGCGTGGGACCTTGGGAGTTCCAATAGCTTGGGTTTGCATTCAAATCCTGGGCCAGCCTCCAGATGCATGGTGTTAGCAGATCTCCTTTGAAGCCCAAGCCCCACTTGCAGTGTTCCCTAGTCCTCTTTAGTTCATGGGTTTGCCTTCCATAAAAACGAAAAGGGTCGGCCTGCAGGTATAGTGGATTGGACAAATTGATCCAGGTGCCCACTGTTTCCGACATGATCCACGTAGATGTAAAGGGGCCGTGGCCCAAGTAAAATGGTGAGGTCCAGGCTGCGCCTGGAAACCCAGGCCCAAAACTATTTTGCCAAATCGGACATCGTGTCTGAGTCGGATTCCGACATGGCAACACCTGTCTGATTCTGACTAGTAAGTACCTCACAAGTGTGAACACCCAAATCTGAGTCAGACCCCGACAAACTTATCCTTGTCTAGGACTGTAGGTACACTTTGCTGAATTGAATCCATGCAGCCTATGAGTACGAAGATTTGCTTGGGCATAGGAGCGGTGAATGAAATTTGCAATCTGCTCCACCCTAGACGAGACAATGAAAACAGTAACTCACAACTCATTTTTCGTTTATGAATTTAGGCGTAACTTTCCTTATTTTGATGCTTTCATAGTACTCCTAAATGTACTGTTTGGCATCCTGTGGTTACACACCCTGAATGGTCTGATACAAGAGTTAAATGTGTGATTGTGCTTTTGTGTGCAAGTGTATTGGGGACTGTTTCTATCTATGGAGTGGAATCTTACCAATTCAGTGCTTTATGGCATATAGCTTCTTGAAGATTCTCCTATTTGGTAGTTGATTAGTTTTTCCGTTTTGCTGTTCAGCAAAGAAATTCATAAATCATTGTTGGTTTCTCGTCACGCCTGACCATTTTGGGAATAGAGATTTTGTTGCCTAACGATTTTCATGGACTTCTTTTTCCAGAAGCGAGAGATTTTTCAGGATCTTGCTCCACTCCTGTGGCACTCTTATGGAACAATTGCTGCACTACTCCAGGTAGGTTACAATTCTTCATGTTGTTTAAGTCAGTGTGGTTGAGTACGAATGTTAGTTCTTCCGAAAAGAAATTCATTTGAGTCTTTCATGGTTTTCTCATTCAGTTTATTTGTGGTTTGGATAATGCAGGAGATTGTGTCAATCTATCCATCACTTTCACCCCCAACATTATCTCCAGGGGCTTCAAACCGTGTCTGCAATGCACTTGCACTTCTTCAGGTACACCTTTACATGAGAAAGAAAGAAACCTTACGACAGTGAGAAATCTCTACTTATGACACTGGTGCCTCATGATGGGATGAGAGAAGGCTATTTTTTCAGCATGTTGCAATGCATAAAAGGGGGATTGATAAAATGCTACTACCTCTATCCCCAAATATAAGGGACTTTGCCTATGTAATTACATAGGCAAAATCCTTATATTTGAGGATGGAGGTAGTATCAGCTTAGGATCCCTAAACTGATTTAATACAACATGTTGCTTTCTAAACTTCATTGTATTTTTATTGCAGTGTGTTGCCTCACACAGTGACACAAGGATTCCTTTCTTGAATGGTAATAAGTGCTGCCATTTTTATTCCAAGTATTAAATATTTCCATGATGATACTCATTGTTCAAGAATATTTCCCCTCTTGCCCAATATACTATGTTCACACTATTATTGTATTTATTAAAAAAAACCATGTAACAGATAATGCTGATTGCATCTATTTAGTTTCAGCTGTGAGCAATATGACCTACTTATGGACTATGGCAGTCCCAATGCTGAAAATTTCAGATAATACTAATCACATCTAGTTAGTTTTGCGCATAGGAATGTTCATCTGTATGTGGCTTTATGCTTCCAGTTGGCTATTGTGAGTGACCTGTTTCCTCTCTTGATTTTTCCCTTCTTCTTTTCAGCTCACATCCCACTGTATCTGTACCCTTTCTTGAATACTACTAGCAAGACAAGGCCTTTTGAGTACTTGAGGCTTACCAGCTTGGGTGTCATTGGCGCACTTGTGAAGGTAATTGCAAGCCAGAACTTTATGAAAATTATGAGGGATATGGGTGTGTTTCTTGAGTGGAAGCGTAGATTTTTAAAGCTAGACCATTTTCTGATCTACTAAGATCCCTATTCAGCTGTTCAGGTGATTGACATGTGGTTCAATTTAACCTTACCTATGCTGGTGGGGTGGGCACTTCAGCTTCTACATGTTCCTCTTTTGACTCCCTTCTACATGACTTTTTGGGAAATATTTTGGCCTGAATTTATAAGAGTATCATTGTGTTCACGTATATCTAATATGAGTCTATAACTTTCCTTATTCCAACAACTTCACAATTGATACACTTCGGGTGGCAAGCCCTCTTGTATAAGAGAAGCTGTGAGTTTGAACTACTTATTTGGTATATCTAGTATATTATATTCTTTGCCTGTTATTTTCCTTCTGGGTTTACTTCTGGACAAGCTGCTTGTTCAATTTTTTCTCTGTTCTTGAATGGTGGTTTGGTCCAGTTCTCAAAACTATGTTGAGAGGGAGGGGGTGAAAGAAAAAAGAAAAGATGGTGCAAATGGTATGGACTATGGGTAGAACTTTCCCTTTCTTCATGACAGTTCTTGTGGACACTGGATACTTATCTAGTCATGCTGATCAAATGGCCTGATTTGGGTTTGGATCCCCAAATATCCCTATGTGAACTGCAAAGTTTGAGCCAAACAACTCGATGATGTTTTTTTTATGGGCATACTACCAGGTTTAAGCCCTGTAGTTAATTTTATAAAATAAGATGGTAAAACCATCAACAGTTTTACAGAGTTTGAGCCAAACAATTCGATGATTTATTAATGATCAAGTTGCTTTTACCAGACTTTGATTTTGTCAATGAGCATACTCAATAAGTTAATTCGGTTTTGTTTTGCAATATATGCAGGTTGATGATTCTGAAGTCATTGGGTTTCTGCTGCAAACTGAAATAATTCCTCTGTGTCTCCGTACTATGGAGATGGGCAGTGAACTTTCGAAAACGGTGTGTAGCTACCTGCCTCCTTTCTCTCTTGTAGTTCTTCCACTGTTTTCAGCTCTTGACAACACTTCACATGTTCTTTGGTATGTTTAATTATTCTAGACTGAAATTTACATAGAGCAAAACTCTTCTTTCTCTATCCCTGTTAAGTCAGATTATCTTACACTTTATGTAACCAAGTCATGTTGGAACCTAATATTACAATGGTCATGAACCGCTTAGATTATGCATCATAGTTGGCTTTGTAGTTTGCTTCCTTTTTGTTTGGTTTGATCTTATAAGGAAGTCGTAGTTTCTTTTGACAATTTTCTAAGCTGCTATATGTGTGAGTTAAAAGAGGGAAAACAAATATTTGTTCGGGAATAATGATGCACTTGTACCTGGTAGCAATAGGCTGTAGTACTGTATTAGATGGATTTGGTGCTTCATTTTTGCTAATCCAATCAACGTATTTTTGCAGGTTGCCACCTTTATTGTTCAAAAGATTCTGCTTGATGATGTTGGGCTTCGCTACATATGTGCTACTGCTGAACGTTTCTTTGCCGTAGCCAGTGTTCTATCACAGATGGTTCAGGCACTTGCTGATCAACCTTCTCCAAGACTGCTGAAGCACATAATTCGCTGCTACCTCAGGCTGTCAGAAAATTCCAGGTTCATTCCATCATCTGTACAGATTACAAAATGCAGAAAACTGGTCAATGCGTAAATTCAAAATAGACCTGGGGCCTCCTATAATTCGTTTTTTCATCTCATGCAGGGCATGTACCGCGCTGAACAGCTGCCTCCCCAACGCGCTGAAAGATGGAACCCTCAACAACTTCCTCCAGGTGTGTGTCTCAACTCTCAACTCACGACATTGCCAGTTACCATCGCTTTACCGCAAAATATTTACATTATAATTTACACAGAAAAGTTTCAATTGATTCCTGATTCCACCTTCATCTTACTTGCGCAGGATGATCATGTCACAAGGCGTTGGCTCCAGCAGCTGCTGCACAACATGACTATGGCCGGCATGGGAGGAGCTCCTCATGGAGGCCTTGATCACATCATGGGGATGTGATCATCTGAAACGAAGCTGGCTGTTTGCAACTCATCATATGCCTGAAGTCAGGACTCAGGACTAGTCCATCTGTAGTTAGCCTACCAAAAGGATTATACTTTTAGTTTTACCTTTAAAAAGAAATGGCGTGTGCCATTGAAGGATAAGAAATGTGTTGGTTGTAGTTAAAAGGTACTGCTTGCTATCCTGTGATGCTGTAAAAATGCAACAGAATTGCGCAGCTCTCTGCACAAGTAGTTCTCAGCTTTTGGTGAACAGTCCGAAATGGAGAAACAAAGGTAAAAACATCAGACTTACATGGTTCTCTTCTGTGGTGTTGCATGACCCGATTACATTTGATGAGCATAGTAGGCCATAAATTTGCTACCTTTTGTTCTTGCTTTTTTTTAATTTTTTTTGGGTAAATTTGCAATGTGATCAGTCACATGATGGCTCATTGGTGCAAGGGCAAACATCTAGCCCTTTGATCACAAAGTTTTTTTTCCCCCTCTATCCTTAAAAAAGTTTTTTTTTTCGCCAAGATTTGACACATTTTGGCAGTAAAATGTCCAACAGATACACACCGGCTTGTGCACTACATGCACACGCTGCCAACTCATGTACTGTTCCAAAAAACTAAAAAGCTAATAATATACAAGTTGTATGTGCATCTGGCTAGCTCCATGGGATACATGCATCTCTTCAGGCCAAAGGTGACCCTTGATGCCACCACAAAGCCATTTTTATCAGCAGCCATCTGGAGCACTCAAGCTGCAGCCACCATTTCTGCTAGTCAAGCAGCCAGGCAACCCAACCCTCTGCTGCTACCTCCACCTAACCCAAACCCCCTAATCTAATCAACATCAAAAACGAAAAAAACAAAATCTTTTTTTTTAAATTATCAAACCCCAAACCCAAACTCTAAAACGAAATTACTAAGCAGCTAAAGCTTAAATCAACCCCAAGAGCGGCCGGGTTAATCACGCAATTAAGCAGCTAATAGCTTAAGTCGCCCCTTCCAGCACCTCAAGAGCTCACCTCACTCCTCCCCCTTCTCTGATTCTGTCTATAAACCCCGCCTCCTCCCCTCCCATCTCATCTCAACTCATCTCATCTCCCTTCTCCAGATCAAAAGACCCTTGCTTTCCCTCAGGATCGGCCATGGCGACCGCCGTTGCGTCCCAGGTACGCGCCGTCCTCGCGGTTTTTTGGATCCCCTGGTTGTCGCGCTGCGCGCGATGGTGCTGAGTTCATGGGGGTTCTTGTGGCTGTTTCTGACACAGGTTGCTGTCTCTGCTCCGGCTGGCTCGGATCGCGGCTTGAGGAGTTCTGGGATCCAGGTGCGTGGTTTGGTGCCCCTGATGGTAGAACTTGCTTCCTTTTGGGTGGAATCCTGTGAGGATTCCGCGGGCTTGGATTGGTCAATGTGTAGTAGGTGGATACAAATCTATGGGATATATCTCAGATTGGTTCAGTATTGAGCGCTATTGAGAGCTAGGCAACGCCAGATATTGCTGCTGCTTGTTAATTCGATGTGCAGATCAATTATCAGGGTTCAGGGTTTTGGTTTAGTAGGCTGTTTATCCTGAATTCACAGCGTTCTTGAATGGTGGTGCTAAACTATGTGCTGGATTTCATTCTGTGTGATTCCTCAGGGTAGCAACAATATTAGCTTTAGCAACAAATCATGGGTTGGCACCACATTGGCGTGGGAGAGCAAGGCCACGCGACCGAGGCATGCGAACAAGGTGCTCTGCATGTCAGTTCAGCAAGCGAGCGAAAGCAAGGTTGCTGTCAAGCCTCTTGATTTGGAGAGTGCTAACGAGCCGCCGCTCAACACATACAAACCAAAGGAGCCTTACACCGCCACAATTGTCTCGGTTGAGAGGATCGTAGGCCCCAAGGCTCCAGGAGAGACATGCCACATTGTTATTGATCATGGTGGCAATGTGCCTTACTGGGAGGGGCAAAGCTATGGCATTATTCCTCCAGTAAGTAATTCCTGCTTTCAATCATTTTCCTTGTTTAAAATAGAACATTATGCTTATGCTTTGTCGGTTTCGTTCATAGTCTATTTATCTGATTGGATATTGAACGATTGTCTCGTTGACACTATTAATTAAGAACTTACAAAGATATAGTCGGTAGTATATTAGGATTATTTCTGTAGACACTGTTTCCAATGTTCTATTCAATGGCTTAAAATTGTAAACCTAGGTGAGAAAACCTGCTCTTGATAGGAGACTTGAGTATGTGCACACACTATTAATACAGTTCCAGTGGTATCTCCATGGGCATCACCCTCTTCACTGTTCTCTAAACCCTGTGCATTTTTGCTTGTTAGGGGGAGAACCCGAAGAAGCCTGGTGCACCACATAATGTCCGTCTTTATTCAATTGCATCTACAAGGTATGGAGATTCATTCGATGGAAGGACCACTAGTTTATGTGTGCGCCGTGCCGTTTATTATGATCCTGAAACTGGCAAGGAGGACCCCTCAAAAAATGGTGTCTGCAGTAACTTCCTATGTAATTCAAAACCAGGGGACAAGGTTAAAGTGACAGGTTAGTTGATTTCTTTCAGCTTCAGATGAATGCAAAGGCTTTGTGAGTTTCCTATGAGGTTGTTTAACTTCTAATTCCAAGCGGAGCAAAATTAGTTGTTTTAGTTGCGTTTTTCCTGAAACCCACCTTTGGTAGACAACCTATTTCTGAGTTCATACATACCAACAACAAATAAACGGTTCTCTGCAACAAAGGTTCCAATAGCCTCTCCTCTAATATGATTATGCCCCTTCTACAATATGATTATCTTATCTTGCTCTTTTCCTTTCTTACTAAAGTTTGCAATCGCATCTTAGTTTACCCTTTTCTTTGTTAGTCATCATGTCCTTTGTGGCACATGATGGATGCCAAGTATCTCACAGTGATTTCCTTCTGAACACCAGGTCCGTCAGGCAAAATAATGCTCCTGCCTGAGGAAGATCCAAATGCAACTCACATCATGATAGCTACTGGCACTGGTGTTGCTCCATTCCGTGGCTACCTACGCCGTATGTTCATGGAAGATGTCCCAAAGTACAGATTTGGTGGCTTGGCCTGGCTCTTCCTTGGTGTGGCTAACACTGACAGCCTTCTCTATGATGAAGAGTTCACAAGCTACCTTAAGCAGTATCCAGACAATTTCAGGTTGCTAGACATCATCTGTCTTGACTCTTCGTATTAATTATTAGTACTACATGCATACTTGGCTGAAACAGCGCCACATAATGAACATAGATGCCTCTGTCAACTGATGCCATCATAGAATTATTGAGCTTTGACTTTGAGAGTACCACATAAATGAGCTGTTTTTGTTAAGTATATTCGTGCATATTGCTATAATTGAATTGTGTTGAATTTGTAGGTATGACAAAGCGCTAAGCAGGGAGCAGAAAAACAAGAACGCTGGCAAGATGTATGTCCAGGACAAGATCGAGGAGTACAGCGACGAGATCTTCAAGCTCTTGGATGGCGGCGCGCACATCTACTTCTGTGGTTTGAAGGGGATGATGCCTGGGATTCAAGACACCCTCAAGAAAGTGGCGGAGCAGAGAGGGGAGAGCTGGGAGCAGAAGCTATCCCAGCTCAAGAAGAACAAGCAATGGCACGTTGAGGTCTACTAGGATCTAAGTGTCCAAGGATTATGATTGTTGCGCAGTGAAAAAGAGAAAACAAAACGCATGATCTGATGATTCTTGTAGGGTGGTGTAAAATCATCATTTTTTTTCTGAATATGAATCATAAAATCACCCATGTAATTCATAAGCTTCTGCATCACATGATGAACGAAAGGAAGCATGTAACTTTTGCCTGTCACTATTGCAGCTGGTACCTTTGCTATCTACCATACTGTAAGGTGTTTTGTCTGAAGCTGATTTTCAGGTACCTGTCAATCTGTCATTGTCTATGCATATAAAAGTGATGGGATATCGTTGATTCAAATCATTAAAATATAATCCGCCGAAAAAATCACTAAAACGTGCTCTTGGAGGCTGGAGTAGCCATCTTGTGGCTTGTGAGCTGTTTATGTTTATCATTTCAAGTGTTCTATAGCAAATTTCGTCCTCAAAGCACAACCTTTTTATTGTCAAACTTGAATTTCAGCTGTCTATCCAGATTTTTGCAGTATTAGATGGTGTCTAATCAAGTGCTAGCTTGCTATATTTTAGAATGAAGGAAATGGCACTCTTATCTGATCTCACTAAATCTTCAGAGAAAAATGTCTGAGAGTCATGAAATACCTGCATTTGTTGCTGAGCTATGCTTTGGCCCATTCAGAGTTTCCGACCATTGGTGATCAAAATTCACCAGCAGCAGCCAGCCACGTTGTGTTTGGTGAATGACGTTATTCAGATCAAGCTGAAGCAAATCTAAATCCTCCTGATACAAAATATACAAACTCTGAACTACCCTTGCGATTTTATGACACCCACATGCTTTGTCTTGTATCTAGTAGATTACATGAGCTGTTTTTCTGTTTAATCACCTAACGCCACCACAAACGTTAACGTGCCTCAGCACAATCCCAACAAGATCTGAAATCTGACGCTATACAGCACTAAGGTCTCTTTTCAAGTGAATGGAATTTACAGAGATTTCACGGAAATTGATCCAAAACCTGTTAAATTCTTGCATTCCAAAGGAGCCGTAAAAAAACTAAAAGAACAGTGTTACGCAAAACTAGAAAGCATGGTAAATAATTCTTTTAGTCATTTATATATATATTTATATCATAAATGACTATCATAGTACTCCTATAAAAAGTAAATCTAAAACTAGATGTGACACATTTTAATACTATAAATTTAGACAAATGTACGTCCAGATTTGTTTATAATACGTCACATTCATTACTATGTTAGTTTTTTAGGGAGGGATGGAATACCATGTAAGATTTTTCATCACAAATTATGTACAAGAGCCAAACTGAATTTCCGTACCCTCTCTCTTTTCTCCGTGAGAATTTGGAAGTTGAAAACGCTAATTTAATGGTCATGTTCTGATGCTCTCGCAGTGGCCTACGTATTGTCAGTCATTGTCAGTTTGCCACCATTCCTCTTTGGCCTTTGGCACAGGTGGGGCCCACAACCTGCGGTGGGCCCCACCACCCCGCCGACGTCAACCCGATTAATCCAACCGCGGCCACGTCAGCAGGCCGTGACCATCCACCCGCGTCGCGTCTCCATTTGCTTTCGCCTAGTACTAATCACTCTCGAAATCGCAATTACTACCACCGTAATAATCTCGCCGTCACCCTCCGCGGCGGCGTGCGCTGCTCCGCTTCACTCCCTTCCATCCATCCCCGGTCGCCGTCGTCTCCGCCCAGGCCAGCACTGACTTGTCCGTTTTATCCGCCTCCGCTTCTCTTCCACTGACCCCTTCTTGGCCTTTTTGGGTGTCTCTCATCCATGAGAGTGATTAGTTGGAGGTTACCAGCTGTAAGTACACCAACAAGCCCTAATAATAGCGAGGCTCGTCAGTTGGGAGGAGGGAGTGGCGGGAAGGAGGAGGGGAAGTTGCTGGGCCAGCGTTGTGGCGGCGGCGGCCGGAGTCGTCGGACGCCATGGAGGCCGTCCAGCCGCCGGTAAGCGATCCGGCCCGATTCCGTCTCTCTCTTCTCCTCTCCTGTGAGTGCTGTGATGTGATCGCGGCTGATACGTGCGCCTCGTGCTTATTTATTTATTTTTAATTTTTGTTGTTGTTCTTATGCTTGATCATGAGGATGGGAACTGGGTTCGTCGGCTTGCCTTTTTATGGGTTGGGTTTTTTTTTTCGGGGTTAAATTCTCTGCAGTGACTTCGTAGTTCGTACTGTTGTATCATCCCGCTATATCGAGATTTCTTTAGAAATATTCCGGGTTTCGCCTGTGTGCTTTCTGACGTGTTCGATGATCAGTTATTTGCTAGCTCTTCACAATTCAGTACTCATGTGAGATCGCAGTATATTTATATTCATTTAATTCAATTTCAAAAGAAGTTGACCCGCATCATTCCGATGCTCAAGGTTTCAATTCTGTCATCTTTTATCTACTTTAATCTCAAGATTGAATTCGGTATCTGCTTGCATGATCAAACTGAGTGTGAAAATGGGTGCAGGTGTTGAGTGACAGATTGAACCCGTTGATCCACCACAGATCAGCTTTTCCAGCCAGTGTTGTGCAGCCTCAAGATCATGGTGACAGCGTTCCGGGCTTGTGCAGTGGATCTTTTATTGACACCAGGGGCAGGCTTAGCAGTGGATCAATGACATCTGAAGATTCACCGGCACTGACGCCGAGATGGTTGTCCATCAAGTCCAACTCCAGCTCTGACAACTGCTTTGAAGGATCGAAAAGAGCGGTATCGTGGTCAGACCGGCATGTTTTCAATCCAAATGGGCAGGTCAACTATGCAGAATTCATGGATTTGATGGAACAGGAGCTTGATACCCAACTTGATAGGCTCAAGGGGGATGTAACTGGGCTGGAAAACTTTGCGTTGCCGGATAATGGGTATATAATTGGTACACACCTGGGCATGTCTCTTGATGTGATGCTGATTGAGATTGATGAGAGGTTCAATGCCTTGAAGTTACTGCTGGCCACAGTGTTTCGGAAGGCTAGGGAGATGGACAGCTCGTCGGTGTCTGATCTGCAGTGGGAGCATGAGTTGCAATTGGAGGTCATCAACATTACAATAGGAGAATTCATCAGTGGCTTGCAAGAGGAGATGGAGAGGAAGCTGTATGAGCAAATTTCTATGACAAACTCCATGAGTAAAAATTGGCAGGATGCCATAGCTCAATTTGCCAGCATGCGCGATGATCTGGGTGCTCTTTCTAAGCTATTGTTGCCCTCACTACAAGAATCACATATTTCTCACAGCAAGCATGAAACTTCAAGCAACAGGAGCAATAGGTGGAAGTACAACATCTTTGGAAAGAAAAACAAGGAGGATCATTCATCTCGCGCGGAGGAAAATAAGAGTTTCAGGAAACAGAAGTCCATGGTTGTCTTGGAAAAATCTGACTTCCGTCACCTGAATGGTATGAGTAAAGAGGAGATCATAACTTATTTTAAGTCCGAAATGAGCAAATTGAAGAGGATGCATGAATTGGATTTGCAGGAGAAGACCGAGGAGCTCTTCAAATTCAAACGGGAGAAGGGATTGCTTACTCTCAAGAATGATGTGGAATTTGAGCCGTTAAGAAAGAAAATTCCACAGATTATTTCTAGAATGGACCAAATCATTTCGAAGAACATAAAGATGCCTTCACTTTGCATGACTAATGATGGACTGGATGAAAGATGCATATCAGCAAAAAGAATCGATTCTTTATATTACGAAAATCAGCATCTTAGAGGTTTGCTTGCAGATAATATGAAGGATGTCAAGGAATTATCATCTCAGCTATCTGAAGCCAGTAAAGAAATGTCTATTCAGTTGTCATCAGAAGACGATCTCCTGAGACAAATTGCCAAAATTAAAGAAGAATATGAGGATCTCCAAATCGAAGCCGGTGTTAGGGATGGAGTGTATCAAACTATTACAAGAAAGTTGCTTGATGATTCTATGAACAGCATGCATGATGCTGCAACGAATTTTAGTACAGAACTGTCTTCTCTTGAAGCTATGATATCTGAAAAGGAGAAGGCTTTGTGTTTGTCAAATGAAGAAAACCGAATGTTAAAAGAAAAAATAGCAGAGTTAGAGCAATGTTTGATCCAAGATAAACAGGAAGATCCAGAAGTCATCAAGCAAGAGAGTACAGAGATCATTTTGCGTGATATAGAGGTGGCGCCTCACATATCACCAAGAAGATCACATGAGACTCCCAAGCAAGATATGCAATATGATGAACTTGTCAAACTTAACTCAAGTTTAGAAATTGCTTCAGCTGCATTGAAGGAAGTTGAAAATAAAAATATCGATTATAATGGTATTTTCACCAAAAATGAGCAAGAAAAGCAACTGGAGTGCATTTTAATATCTATTATGAAGTTGTCAAAGGAATTTGTGGAGATCGAGCAAAAATTATCAGTAGAAAGAAGTGCAAGCAGGTTTGTCTATCTTCCTTTCCACTTGTTTTTTCTGTAATTGCATCGACTTACTACTTGAAAAATATAAATCCAATTTGGCATATCAAATATCATCTACAGCATATCAAACACAAGGTTTTGTTAGTATCTTTAATACATCATATAGGATTGATTTAGAAGTGTATATGTTGTCGCTTGTTGCTTGTGAAAACTGCAGCCTGGCTCTTACCAAAACCTGACCTGCAACTTCTGCTGTCCTTTTTTTTTTAAGAATATGCTCCATTATAACTCGATGCGATTATTGTTGCTTTCAGGTCAGAGGATTTGAGTGATCATTGCAACCACATGGTCAGACAAGCCGTTGTACTAACAAAAATAGGCCTTTGGTACAAACAAATGCTAGAAACAAGGCGTTCTGAGCTCCAGAAGGCTGAAGCCAAGGTAATTCTTTGTTTTTGCCTGTCCAATTTCCCTTTGGAAATTACACCAAATTTAAAGCACAAATCAAGGGTATATTCTAACTCCCCTTTGAGAACTTGAAGATTTGTGGAAATACCATTAAAGGGGCTTCCTCTAGTGAGTTTCTTCTTGACAAACTGATACATAAATACAGCCCATAGGCTTATTTAGTACTGGTAAGGACTAACGACAAACACCTCATATCCTATCATGATCCAACAACTCCTAATCTCAACTTAAGTCGCACCTCAGTTTTTCCTTTTTTGGGCGTAAACCTCAGACTGTTCTTCACACGGAATACTTCATTGATTAATTAAGCTTTGTTTGACTACAACTGTGATATATCGCTATAAATTCAAAGAGACAACGTTGAAATATTTCCGATGTGATTCAGGTTGTCATTTTGGGCGACAAGGTTAATTCACATTTAAACCTTCTTCAGAAGATATATGTAACTCTTGATCGCTACTCCCCTACATTACAGCAATATCCTGGGGTAAGTGTTTTATATCCTGATATAAATGCTGCTTAGAGCATTCGATCTCCAGTACTCCTAGTTTGCAAAGAGTTTGCATGCTTGGATTGATGTATCCTGCAATGACCAGTTTAATAGTGGCAACAACTGAGTAATAATATGAGTGCTCTGTATGCAGTTGCTAGATGCTTTCTTGAAGACATGCAAGCTTGTTGCAGGTTTGAGAAGTAATCAGAACAAAGATGATACGACAGCATAAAAAGGGCAACTAGGTGAGACAACAAGAAATATGTTTTTAATTAGTAGTTTGAGTTTCTCAACTGTGAACTGCAGCCTTTGATTAATAGCATTTCTTTAAAAGAAATCTTTGCAGCACCTGTCATCCTTGCAATCATCATCGACTTCAAATTTTCAATATGATTTTCCGTATAGGTTTATATTCATATTATAGTTATGTATGAATTGTGGTGAATTTTCCAGTGTTGGGTATTGAATGATGAATACAAATAGTGCAGGCATGCTCAAGAGTAGACTCATGAGGACCTACTGCCAGGAGGGTACAACTGACACACTGATATCCTGGCTCATCCGCTCATGTGCATAACCAATTAGCCATGTGAAGCTCCAGTTGTAGATCAAGTGGAGGATTCTCAGACTGAATTATCGATATCATAGGATGTTGATTGTTGATGCGTATTTCGAACCAGCTGAAGTAGCACTCACCTTCTGATATGCAGCTATATATATACACGTTCAGAAAATAGCTCCATGTAGTGTTTGTAGGTCATGCAGTTATACGTACAAGCCAGAAACTCAGAACGACATTCTGTAGAGAATAATTATCAGCCAGTGGCCTGGTAATGTACAGATTACACTGTTCAGGTCTTTGGGTAGACGGGATAGGCGCATCTTTGTTTAGCCAGATACACGTTTTGTAATCATCCACTATGTAACTGTTTTCATCTTTCAAAACTCATATTGCCAACTAACTGTATAGCTAGATTACCTGTATAACGAGAAACTTTGGTCCATGTTGGATGTTGCAAGTTTTAGTTGCATGTCGTGCTTGTGTATTTTTGTTTGCCCAACAAGGTTTATAAACTCAGGAGTTCAAGGTTGTAACGTAACATTCTGAAATATCATTAACCTAATTCTATAAACCGGAATTAAAAATATACTTGACTAACAATTTGTCTACGAAACAAACGTTCAGTTGGTCCGTGATGCAAGAGTATCAAAGTTTTATATGTTGATTTTTTTTCTGCTTTTTTGGAATTATCAGGCTATACTGGGATTTGTTTCTCCATGATCACACGACGTTGGCACCTCCGATTTGTGGGAATCATTGATTACAAAACTGTTATGAGTCCGTGCCAGTCTAACATGAGTGATTAATGACAAAGCTAACAACATAAGTATTTTAAGCAATCGAGCCATAGAGCATATCAAAACATGAAAACCCACTGGGGTTGACCGTATCTGAGACGATATGCTCTGACTGATTTGTATGACCAGTGACAACACACAGGGTTGTCACAGTTTGCCTCCACTTATCATGTGATGCGCAATTACCGTAGTACGCTTCTGGTCTTTGATTTTGTGACAGACTCAATAAGCCGGTACATCCATCGGTCAAGCATTCCTGTATCGTAGGATGACAGAATTGGTATCAGTTTTAGAGTGAAATTGTTATTATTACTCCCTTTTTTTTTAAAAAAAATAACACTCTAAAATCATGCATATGAGATTACCAATGAACTATTGCTACTGACGCCAATCCCTAACACCAGCATGCTTTTAAAACACACATTCTTGTAGGCTGTGGAGGCATACCTGTCATTGCAAAGGTACCGCCAAGAACTGCACATAGTCGGGTGAGGAAATGCAGGAAGTTCCTTCTTTCTTCTTTGATTGTGACTGTAATTGGTGAGAGATCATACAAGAAGTACACAGCTGCAGAAGGAAAACATATTAGTCCTGGAAACAGATGAATATACCACGCTTGTAGTGAAGGGAGAGTTACCTGGCCACGCGGACCTATCAGTAGCGCGTTTAGGAACAAAATACTCGGTGACAGAAAACTGATTTGTTGGCAACACCTGCTTTGAGAGGTATCTGTACTCGGTTGGAACAATCTGCATATCAATTACAACAGATGAGGACACTTCTTCTCAAACAAATAATGTGATGGATTTCCATCTGATCTGATGGTGAAACAGCTCCAAAGAACGATTTACATAGGTTTGTAGCAAAAGGACAAAAAAGTTGGAGGAGGGATGGAGTTCTTTTCCACAAGGATCCATAGATGATTTTGAATTATGCATATATGTGAACTTCTATTTTCATGATTGCATCCTCTTTCGCAAGCCTTGTCCATGTTGGAACTTGCAAATTGCTGTCTGGACATGAACTACTAAATGAATGACTACTCAAACTCACCTTGATATAGTATTTGAAGGTCCCACTTGTATCATGGAGTATCCTTGTAGTCTCATCCAGTGGATTATGAATTCCAGGATATTTTGGACCAAAGGATAGATCATGGATGATATGACTGACGTTCACATGGCTTGACCCATCAAAAATCTACATACAACAGATGAAAATGAAAATTTACATAGAGAGTAATAACAATACAAATAAAAGCATAAAACACTTATTTATAGGTAGCACAAAAAGAGGTTGAAATCACTGAGGCCTTTATGTGCTAGTTAGGCGGCATACCAGAGTGTAGTACACCATAAGACGGGGCTAGCAAGCCACCTATGCGGCATAATAAATCAATTAGGCGCCTTAGGCAGTAGTGCACCGCCTAGCTACCTAGGTGGTTGCTTTTTAATGCATATTTTTCATAAAAATCGAAGAGACATAAGCACATCCAATGTAAAGAAAATATTGTGGTTCATATAAGCTGACAATTATATAATGTGATGGCCAAAAGAAGATACTTCCCACGTCCTTTTTTTTGTTCCAATCCCAGCTTGATCTGGTGTGCACCAAACTGGTGAGTATTGAGTTGTTTACTGGCTAACTTATTATTATTATTATCATTAGGTTGTGTTATTTTCCTTCTCTCGTAATCACTAGCATCTGTTTACCATTAAAACATTATCCTAATTGTGGACAGTTTTAGGAAGTCTTGTACAAGATGCACAAAGCACTTGTCCAATATGGCATTACCAGGAAGTAGGAGCTGGCTGGTTTCAATAGTTTCTGAAGGGATTTTTAGTTGAATAATTTTAAACCCTTGTGAACATGATCTGTCATAAACTGAAAACCTAGAAGCTTATACAATAATCCTGGCAACTTCATACAAAAAGAAATTAACATATTTCACAGCAAAAAGCATACAGATGGAAGCACAGAAGTAAAAAAAATATGCAGTTTTAGATGAATAACCTTCTCAGCAACAAAAATGTTCAAACCATGAACCGAGATATGGAAGTTACCAGCAACCCTCTGCACATCTAGAACACCATAAACCTGTGAAAATTGAAAGCAAAATGTTTTAACAAGTACATGGTATGCCTGATGATAATAGCCTTAATAATACCATTCCATAAATTAAAGGATACTGGTAGAGAAATATCTTACTCGGCACCCTTCACCATTTTCCATTGCTTGTTTCACACTCTTAACCATTTTTTCTGCATCTTCATTAAAGGTGTGCTCTTGCTTCTTTTGTTCATCTTCATGCTCATGGTCATGATCTGTTAAACCACTAGCTTATTATGTATAGAAAAATAAGCGCCAAGAGATTGTCAACTAAACTGTGTTTTCAAGGGGAAAGTTTCACATTAAGAAGCGATAAGGTAGGGTTTTTTTTTACTTAAGTAGATAATCCCAATAAAATAACTAGATTTGATTGTTTTTTATCTCTACTAAAAGTATTCGAGTTAATGACAGTGATGGTAAGTTCTACATCACCATCCCTCCTCCCACCTTCCCAAATGACAATCCATATGTTACTCGAAACGAGAATTAATTCTTTCCAATGATAATTTTTCAGCAAAGACAATGTTTGACCATGACAGCAAGCTAAATAGCTAATTATTGGAACCATTTTTTTTGGGTGGCTGGTACATCTTTCCAGAAAGTACCAAAGCAAGCTCGATAGCACATTGTTGCAATCAATTTTCTTTTTTGCTTGAACTTATATACTAAGAAAGGCAAACATTATATTACTAAGAAACACTGTTTCCATGCTTGAACCCATTCCAGGCTACGTACTTAATGGAACATTCTAAATAAAGCATATTTCTCCATCACATCAGACATTTTAACTAAATCAGTATAAAGCATGTTGGCGCATCAAATGGGACATTCTGACTATAACATATTGTCAATAGATTTAGTTAATTTGTTGTCTCAAGGGTTTCCCTAGATCTGTGTCCTTAATATATTACTTAAAGTATTGTTTGGATAATTGGACCACAATTATAACTGCAAACAACTATTACTAGCGAGCTGCAATTTACAGTGAGCAAAAGAAGGAAACAATGTACACACTAGGGACTGAAACAACAATAATTCATATGGCAGTTCAGTGTACATTAGTTTTATCTTTATGGAAGCAGCAGAGTATACCATGATTGTGAGTCCCATGCTCCTTCTCAACTAGATCATTTAAATACTCCGTACCAATGATATGGCCATACTTATCCAAGCGAAGCTGCATTCAGCAGAAGAGGTAAGGTTAGAAACATTATATGAGTGCCAGATACTGAATTGAGAAAAATACTATGGTACAACTTTTGTTGGGAAAAAATATATTTGTTTTGTAAAAATGAAGAATACTGCTTGCACTAGAGCAAGGCATGCACTGCCAGTCAACGGCTAAAAGAAAATGTTCCCTTCTAGGTGCATGAATACTATGACTGCACCATGGATAGCGAGTATGTGTTATTATCCATAATTAAGGGATTTATTATTACCGCGTCATAAGCAATGAGGATAATTAGTGCAACTACTGAATTTGTCTATTATAGAACATACACTAAGTCACAGAGTAACAAAGTGTTCATGTCAGGTGGTACCTTCCAAATATTTGTATGCAAGTCCACTTCATGCTTGCCAGACATGTCAATTGCATCCACACTCAAGACTAAACAAAAGAGCCAGGGGAAAAAGGTCAAACCATAATCTCCTTGCAAACCAACGTTGAAAAGAAACCTCATATCGAACTGATAAGGATGCATTTAATCAATAACTGACCTTCACATGGTAGAGAGGGAAATGACATATTTATATGAATTGGCAGAGTTTCTCCTCGTTTCAGATCTACAGACATCTGCAGACAGCATCAATTAGATAGTGATGGCTCATGTCATGATTTCTTAGTAAGATACTCCCTCCATCCACAAAAGTTATACCTATTACTTTTGTCACTAAGACCAAGGAGAAATTAAATCATCTTAGATGTTACAAAATCAAGGAGTAAATGCAAGCATGCAACCAATGAGTATTTAAATGACTCTTTGGGTTCTAATCAAACATTTAATTTATCTCTTGATTCAAGTCTTGAATGCATATAAAGACTACAAATAGGAACAACTTACTTGGAAAAACTCAAATGTGAAATATGTCTAACTTTTGTGGATGGAGGGAGTATATGAGAGGCCCATGAAATTGGCATTGGTAAGGACCGAAGCAAGGAATGAAAAATCATCATATCCAAATAGCAATCAGTAGATATTTAAAACAATTAGAATAATGTAATTCAATGAAAATCATGGTTAAGTTCTCCAAGATACCCTTCTGTCATCATACAGATTCTCTGGTCAATTTTGTTAAATAGACCAAAACAGGATAGCTATCACCTACATACATATTCCCATTACTAATGAAATATCATTAAAAGCTGTTATTGAGTGGCAAAATAACCAACTTATATGCAAAATTACAGTAAAGTTGCACATGCTAGACATAGAAGAAAAGGAAACAACCAACCATACCTGATGAACAGTATAGGTGGTAAGATAAAATTTGAGCTCGTGCGCAAATAACGTAACCATTATAATTAGTCCGAAAATCGTGACTGCAAACATATCCATAGTTGCACAAATCAACCAAACATCTCCAAATGAAACATCAGTACCCACAGGACAAAATCATGAAGAAATAGGATCTCCCATACCGATAGCACCAGAGTAAGTCTTCTTTAGTAAGTGGTCTTCCGCATGGGGGAAGGCATTGAAATTTTTCAGAGACGGTATCCTCCCCATTTTTCAGCTGCACAAACCATATCAGCATTGTCATACAGGAATAACGCACTGTCCTAACGTTGCACGAAACCAAGTAGAAACTCTCTAACATTTCACTCGAATTCTTCGATAACAAACCCTTCATAAGATATAACAGTAACGATCTTCAATTATCTCTCCATGAACATAATGCTACATTTTTCACATAAATCCCTTAACGTCTCCGAATGATTGTAACAGTATATCATCCATCGGATTACCAGATCCATCCAAATCCCCAGAATTTTCCCAGAGCCCACACGGATAAGACAGCCTCCGCTCTCGCAAAAACAAAAACCGGACAACGAGCTACTCGATATCCCTCAACCGCAACGGCAACACCAACACCAGCACCGATCCCCCAGAATTCGAACCCGGAGGACCAGATCGGACGACAAAAGGGAGCTCGCGGACGAGACGGAGCTCGGGATTCGCTCGCTCACCTGGGGGGGCAGGAAAAGGCACGGGGCCGGAGCTCGATTCCCACGGGCGGCGGAGCTGAGATCTCACGGCGGCCTCGCCGCCTCAGGGCACCACGCCGAGACCGGCGGCGGAGGCAGGAAAAGTCTCGTGTCGTCGCGGTCGGAGCCGAAGCCGATGAGGAGGAAACCGGAAACCCAACAACCCGAGAAGCCAAAATACCTCTCCCTGCTCCCCACGCGTCCGCCATGGGTGAATCTCCACCGTCCATCTTTGATCGGACGGTCAGAAACCATCCCCAGCTGACGATGGGCTTTTTTCTCGGCCCATTGGGCTTGCAATTGGGCCCATTTGTTTGTATGTGGCTAAAGCCCACCAGAAGAGAGCTGTGTCCTCGTCTCGTCTCGTCGCCGGCGAAGCTCACCGACGACGCGACGCCACCCCAGCCGCCGCCGCAGCCGCAGCCCGGCGACCGGCGGCGCCGCCCCCGGCTCCCTGACCCGCCGCGGCCGCACGGGGGTAAGGCGGTTCCCCTGTCGGGGCTCTCGCCGCAGGTACGCGACGTTGCCTCTTCTTGTTCGTTTCCCCCCGTGCTCCGGCGATCTTTTCGCCGTTCCAGATCCGCCTCCGCTCCCGTGCTTTGACCTGGCGTTGCGCGGTTTAACTTTTTGCTATCTTGATTAAGCTATTTTGGGTGGTCATCTGCCTGTCCCCCGATTGAACAGCAGGGATCGATTCCTTGTTGGGGTTGGGCATTTCGGCTTTGATGGGAGACGCCAAGGAAGGAGAAGAGGAGCGGCCGCGCTGCGTCGGCTGTGGCCGGCGTGTGAAGACGCTCTACATGCAGTACTCCCCGGGCAACATCCGTTTGATGAAATGCGTAAGAGAGGGACTAGTGTTGTTGATTGGGCATGTGTAAATCCTTTTTGTCATGTGCGTGTAATCTGTTTAAGTTTGGATGCCCTGTTCTTGTGCAGGATACCTGCAAGGCTGTTGCTGATCCCTACATCGAGTGCGAGTTCATGGTGCGTTAATCTAGCAGTGATGATATCGAATTTCTCGCCATACTTGTGTGATCCGATTGTTTGCATCACATATGCAGTTTATTTACTGCTGAACTGATGCATTGAGTTGAGCATTTAACTATTCTTTCTTTTTTTTCGTAGATAATCTTGATTGATCTGATTCTACACAAGACAAGAGCATATCGTCATCTTCTATTTAATAAGTTGAGGATTTATTCATCACTTGACAAGGTGGGAATCATATGGTATTCAAACTCGTTCACATGCTACTTTTAGTTAAAATGAAAAAGGAGGTGGGCTCAGCTCTTTTGATGTTTACTTCCGTTTTCTTCAACAATGCTTCTTCCTAGTTTTACCTGTACTCTGTCCTGTCTGTCTGTCATGCTGCTCAAGAATTATTAGCTTCATCTGTCTTAGATCTGCTTGTTAGTTAGTATATTCTTGGTGTCTATGTTCTGTATTACATGATATCTTTAGCCATTTATGCCTTGTCAGTCCATCTGACAATAGTTTAAAATAGCCAATCCCATGGAATACACAGTTTTCTATTCATTCAAGTTATAACTGCATAGTTTGGTAACGTTTTTGTAATAACTTTCTGTCACCTTATGGTAGTTCCATTAGCCGTTATTCCCTGATATTTTGAATTTGTTTAATGGGGTATGTCAAGACTCAAGAGTTACATTTTCCTATGTTCCTGATTTTTGTTCTTTTCAGGGAGTACTGGTGTTGTCCATTCTGACGCATCTTGTTCTTGATGCATGTATCCATTCTATTTATAAATGTTCATCTTCAATTTTGGTTTTTTTTATGTATATATTCAACTTAAGCACCCCTTAACTATGTAAGTCAGAATATCTTTTTCAAGAGGCAACATAGCTGATGGGGATTCTTCCATAAACATATTCTCAGCGATTCTCAATTGCAGCAAGGTAATTAAAGTTGACTGCATTGAGAAGTTCTATGTTTCTGCTGCTCATTACCTTAGTAATGTATCCGGTGTCTATTATTCTTCAGGTTCTGGGCGATGCATTGTTAGGGAACATCGTATTTATGACCATGTTATTCCTGGAAGTGCAATTTATCCTAAAACTATCTTTTGATATTAGAAGGTACATTGAATACCTGTGATGTGGAAATTTCAATTACATTTGTTGGTAGTTCATTACGCGCAAATGAATTGGTGTATTCTCAATTGGAATTATGCAACCAGTAGGGATTCTGTAATAGTACACTTCTGTTGTAGAAGATGAAACCATATCAGAATTTCACATTAAATGTGTCATGGGTTAACAGTTGCGCTTACTTTGTCATTTCTCAGGTATAGGGAGGTTCTGTTAGCCGTCATCATTTCAAGCTACTTCAAGTTATTTCTCATGGCAATGATGGTATAGAAGATTTTTGTGATGATTTATTTCTAAGTTTTATTTGACTTTTTTATTTCCTTTCACGTTCATCATCAAATTTTGCAGGTTTGGGAGTTTCCGTCATCTGTTATATTCTTTGTTGAAATTTCTGTTCTCTCTTCAAATACTGTAGCACTGAGAGGTAAGTGCACATTTTCTTTCCTCGGATAATTCTCGTCTTTGTTTATGACAATTTAAACTGTTGTATCAATGTTGTTTAGCTGTTCCTTTTTCTTGTGCTCCCACTCCAGTAACATTCATGTTCCCTCCATTGGGTATATAGAACTTATGCAGCATCCCTGGTCATTGAATGTAGCTGTGTTGAAAAGCATGTAGAAAAGCTGGAAATCGTAGATTTTAGTGTCATTACTTTATGTATGTTGTGTGAACTGGCACTGAATTACAGAATCCTAGTAACTCTGCAGTCCTTCCACAAGCACTACTATACAATACTAGGGTGAAAAGGGCACCTCTGTTGTCACAATCTCCAGTGATTGGATCATATTGATTACCAAACATCTGCATCAAATAATTGAGGTTTTGCACATCCCACCGTATCACACATAATTGATTGATAGATGCCTCAGCTTTATTGTTTCCATCTTCTAGATTTTTCTTTGAAATAAGCTGCAAGTCCAATACAGAATCAATAGTATAGTGCGTTTATCACTCCGATACTTCATATTTGAATTCTGGATAGATAACCTAAATACAAACAGGTTCATCGTTCTGAAGCATTAATATATCGATGCACCCTTCTCTTTCTAGAAAAAAGTACTGACAGGGATGTTCTTTGATGAATAGGAACCTAATACATAGCTCATACTATTGATGATCACAATGTTCCTGTTTCTTTTGCAGTTGTGACGGAGTTTTCAAAGGCCCATTGCTTCGGAGTCTGCTTTGGAGCGCACGCAGCAAGATACCTGACTGAGCGATGGCTTCTCGGGGCGCCATGAACCCAACCGCCGTGCTTCCTGCATCCATCAAGCTCCCTGTAGCTCGTGGTGCCCCCCAAATTCATCAGGATTCAGGACCACCCGCCATGCTTCTTGCGTCCATCAAGCCCCGTGTAGGTAGCTGTACTCCCCAGTTTATGCAGCATCTAGGCATACTGTGCCGCTTTGATGAGCTTGCTCTGATGAAACCAAATGTGATCATTTGCAATGCACTCACTGACTATGATACACACTGTTCCTGTGAGTTGCAACTGGAGTGTCTCTTAGGCCTTTTGTACGAGATGTTGAGCAATCCTCTCCTAGTTTCCCCATCTAACTGGGGACAGTACATTACTTTATGGCTGGTCTATTTTCTTGTACTTATATGCCCAACGCAGTAGCTGCTGCTGCTCCTGTTCAGCGAAGTACGCAATGAAAGGGCCTGTTCACCTTCTGATGATTGTAACGGTGGCTTCTGAAGAGGTATGTTCCCTTTGTTCCATTTGCAATATAATGATACGAATACATACAACATACAGAATAAGGTTCTGAATATTACTCTTAACAAGTTAGGCTGCAGCAGAGTTTCAGTTCAAGAGTCTGAATATTACTCTTAACAAGTTAGGCAGCAGCAGGGTCTCAGTTCAAGAGTTTTGTTCTTCAGTGCTCTGAACCTTCTTGAATTGAACATGTCCCTCTTTTCCTGTGCTCCTTCCCTTCCTTTTGCTGCTTCGCCACCACCAAATGCTTATCTGCACTAACACCAAACAGCTCCAACAAATATGCAATCTGCCTCCTAATCCACAGTTTTGTTAATCACCTGCACTGAGGCGAGAACTATTATAATTCGTTCACCCTGCTCATGATACATACAAGATGATGTATCGAGTAGACGGGGCACAAAGTTTGCTTAAACAAAATTACACTTTTCCCCGGAATTTAAAAAACTCACACTTTTGTACGTAATTTGCGCTAATCTGCTTGTGTAAAGCATCGCATTATCGGTTGGGTTGCGATCATCGCGGCCGGCACCACTGAAATTAACAAGTGGAGTACGTGCGCACTTGTTTAGTGTGAATGTGTGGTAGCTTTGGTCGTGTTTGCTTCAGTCTTCTGTGGAGCCTCCACTTTAAACAAGCTCCTCTCACACCATCATTTTTAGGATTAGGACAAATAACACACTAATTTTTAGGATAAGGAGCACACTATCTATTGCGATGAAAACTAGACCAAGTCAAGAATTAAGACACGAGAAATAGATTTCTTGTTTTTTTTTTTTGCTGAAATCGTTGTACTTTTAGTAATTTTTTTATTAATGTGTAGTTGGAACAAGAAAGTTCAGAATTTGTGTGCTTGAGGCAAGCGGCCAGCAAATAAGAAGAAATAGATGAAGCATCATCAAGGCTTTCTTTTAGCTGTTTAATATTTGTTGAAATGATCACTGTAGTTAGTAAAAGAAGTTGCAACTAATTAATCTCCGCAACTTTTGACGAATGTTGCAATAATTATGGATTCGGGTGCTACAACTTAATTAGTGAGCTTAAGCACATCAATGCGTTACGTGTTACGTCAGATTTCCTTAGCAGCTATGAGAACCTACACTCACATATGTCACACACCAAACGTTCCCTAAAGCTAACTAACAAAGCTTAAATTCTACAGTAGCAATGAGTAGCTAGCGGCGAATCGTATCAAGAAACAAGGTGAGTAAAATAAATAATATAATCTAAAACTTTATGAAAGATACTTGTCAAGACATAATACTCTTATATCCTCCCTTGACCTTCGTGTTGTGTAACTTTCTTATCATCTACTACTATAGCTAGTGCTGTCACCTTTCATCATCTTCCAACAAGAAGTGGAATTATAATATGGAGTTGAGCCTAATCAGTGTGCCTCAACTTTTTTTTTTCTTTTTTGAGACGGTGACTACTTATGATCAACGCGGGATTTTGAGTTCTTTGTCTGAAGAATATTTTATCTTTAGACCGTAAGTCAAGCAAAATTTAGTGGCCATGGAATGTGGCTCTCTTCAACCGAGTCACCAAATTACATGATCAACGGCTATTAATCATCTTGTGCACCCAACCTTAGCTTCAAAGAATTCTTCCTTGTGCATGATTGCACTGCAATATATGAAATCTGACCAGAAAATTCCTTGTCCTGTCATGTAGATTTCAGGGCCATCACTGGTTGTACCGGACCTACTCTATTTTAATTTGGGCCATTGCAACATTAAGAAACCAGACTCAAAGCTTCCAAACTGATCCACAATACAATCCCAAATCAATATCGTTATTTCATTTGCAAACCAATAATTTGAATTTTTAATTTTTAATTGGATGGCAAAATAAGCAGCATAAACATTAATATTTTTAGCTTCCTGATTTAAATTTCTATCTCTTGACACCAATGATATACTCCTAGGTAAACAGAGAGGGGAAAGATGTCATAAAATGAATCTGACAACATTAATTAACCATAAATTTAGCTGACGTTGACATGCTAGAAAGATTAAGCATTAGACTGGGGAACAAAGTTGGTCAAGCACCCGTGCTAGCTTACACTTATATAGCTAATAGGAAGCTTTTGCTGCTAAATGTGCGCCCCAACCACCACCTAGCTGCGTCTAATTTCCCATGACACGAGATCGATCATATCGATGCCTCTAAAATCCTTAATTAGGTCGAAACACAACACGCCAAGACGCGCTTAGCCAACACACATCAAGAGAACTAATTAATCACATCTTAATTGGTAGGAGAAGTCCAATGCTGATTAATCATTAAAAGGGATGCAATTAAGTAGGACTCTGAGATCTTCATTGGAGCAAATGGGATTCATAGACTGGTGATACCTTTGTTCCCAGTGTTGTCCATGTACAGTCACTCGGATTTGACGCCCTAACAATACATAACTAGTACTTGTCATGCATATTAACTAGGAAATTGATCTTAGCTAGGCCCCAAAATGATAGGGGGACACGCTATCTCGTGATAGTTATTGACACCTACGGCCCATTACATAGAAAGTTACAGTTATTTTAGACAGAATTCACGGCCCAGTTAGTTGCAAGAAGTCACTGTGTCACCAGATGGCCTACAGCCTACCAGTGACCAGCCACCGGCCGTCCCATTTATGTGTTAAACCTTGTTTGGATGAGCTTATATCAGGTACAGTTTCTACTGTAATCTCTGAAAATGATTTGTGTAACTCAAGTAGACATACACTCGTTTCATGCATATCTTTCAAAATGTTACAAAAATGTTTTTTTATAAAATAGATATCACTACACAAACATATAAGGTCAAATTCGACTTATATAATTTGGAAAAGAAACAACAAATATCAACTATAAAAGTTACGCACGTTTGATAGCCACATTTATCATTTGTGTTTCAACTCATGTAAGTCGAATTTAAATTTGTATGTTTACGAAGTAATATATTACATACTGATCAAATTGTTTTAATTTTTTATGACTTTTTGAGTGACACATGAAACGAGTGTACCACTCAAGTAAAAAAGAAAAGCTTTCCCATAATCTCCACCTTCTCAAACAATAATTGAGAAGATTATAAGAACCAATCACTGCATAAGGTGTGCATGTGTACGTTTATAAAGACAAGTATGCGTGTTTGTGTATATGAGTGTGTTAAAAAAAATGAATTCAGACAAAAATAAACTATTAACAAGAAGGCGTTAGCTAAGAAATTACACACTTTATTTAGATTCTAGCTGGTTTAGTGACCAAATTGTTTCCAAGGCCTTACCTAGCTCTTCCTCGCCAAAAGAAAAGGAAAAAAAATGCAAGGGGTTTGCTTTTTTCTCTTCGTTTTTTTCTTTTATACTTTGTGGACATGGGGCCATGCATGCAGATGTTTTTTTCTCTAGGCTTTAGGAAGCCACAGCCTCTAGGTATCAACCAAGCAGCAGCAGATTTCCCCAGCACCCCACGGGTGATTGCCCCCATCTGAAATAATTTAATCGATCGTTGGCAAATCGACGAAAAGTAAATACAGTAGTGGATTGTTCGTAGCTGATGCATGCTTATAATTATATATTCTTGCAATTATATATCTACCCCGGCCAATGCAGGAGCAGGATCGACGACGTGATATATTCCCCGGTCTGTGGATCGATCGATCTACCGGTTGCTATAAAGTGTACGTGCGTGCAGTGACCATAGGATACCGGCATATTGTCACGTTGATATCAGTCCACGCATGCAGCCATGTACTACTCGTGTTTAGTTTCTGAAATTGGGGAGAAGTTTGGGGAAAGTTGTTAGTTTGGAAAAAAAATTGAGAGTTTTTGTGTGTAGAAAAGTTTTGGATGTGATGTGATGTGATGTAATGAAAAGTTTGGTGTGAACTAAACACACCCTAGTACTCCCTCAGTAGGCAGAATATAAGAAATTCTGGTATTTAAATCTTGTTCTAAACTGTAGAAATTTCTAATACCATTCCGTTAATCACCCGTCATTTAATTTCTTTTCTATCTTACCTCTACTCGTTAATTATTTTTTTCTTAATATTAGCTTAAAAATGCTTATATTCTTAAACAAAAGTACTACTATAAGAAAAAAAGATAACCAAGGAGGAACTTAATTATCAAATAATTACAATCGTGTAATTAATTGGGAATTGAACAGAGTACCTCGGGGTTAAAATGACAAGCACTTTCTATCACCGCTATCAAGTGCATCTGGGGATATTACAATAGGCATCTGCGTGGTTTTCACATATCCTATGCGTCCACTGGGCCCAGGAGGCATTGGCACGGCGAGTGTGGTGGCCCGGCGGCGGCGGAGGGCGCGCCGACGCGTCCTGATCGGGGCGGGCCGGCGATGTCCCCGGCCGCCCCGGCAAGCACGCATATGAGCCGTACACCCCGTGCCCCCGGCGTCTGCACCTGCGTGTACCGCTCGATCGCATCCGTCCGCGTCCGTATCTGCATGCATGCATGTGTGACTGTGTGAGCAAAAGGTTTGCATATTACTTTTTCTGTTTCACAGTTAAAATTATTCTAGTTATGAATGTGTGAAATACTAAAATAACTTTCATCGTGAAACGGAGGGAGTACGTTGCGTTGCATATGAATCGGCTTGTACCTGTGTGGCTGTTTGGTCTGGCTCTCGTACTAGGACACATGCACATACGTATACCGGGAGGAGCAACCACGTACGTACGCAGCACTGCCAACTACGTAATCCCTTCACTTTAAAATAGACAAACATAATAAAGATACGAATGATATAAACTTCTTAAGATTTGTAGTATTAAGAATATATCATATTTTATATTAAATTTATTCATTTTACAACGAAAGGATACTACGCTAGCTATTACGACCATACGGGTATCTATTGAGGTGATCTGTATGGCATTGGCTTCTTTTCAAAAAAAACATGTATGGCATTGGCAAAGTGGTTCAGATAATCCTGGCAGAGAGGCATGAATTGTTTCGCTCAACCAGAGCACCATGAATCGATCGGCCGGGTGCATTGCGCACGTTGTCTTTGGAATTGACGGATGGAATCAACCAATTATAGTTTTATTACCTAAGTTATGCTTTGGGCCATATTTTATTACCTAAGTTTCACTTTGGACCACACTTAAACATATCTTTTCACTTTGGATCGGATAAATTTACCATTGTTACGATTTGGACCACCACGAACGATTTTTTTTCTCATGCAATCAACGATCTTAAACACATCAGCTCTAATATACGGCCGATCTCCTCTATATATGGTTCATATGTTTGCCGAAAGGGAAGTTAAACATGACGAGAAAAGTTGTTCATGGTAGTCCAAACCGCAACAATAGTAAATTTACCCAGTCTAAATTGAAAATATAGGTTTAAGGGTGGTCCAAATTGAAACTTGGGTAATAAAAGGTGGACCAAAGTGTAATTTACTAAAAAAAAATCAACCAATTATCTCCAGCAATGGATCGGAGTGACGTCCACCCAGAGGCGAAGCCAGGATTTGAGATTAGGAGGATGTCGGTGAGGGTAAGCCATAAGAGTTGAGAATGAATAACCAATATTAATATTGATAGTAAAAAAAGGGTCAAATAGTTACTCTCAATAACAACCAATGTTTAAACTAATCCTTTAAAAAACTGGAATTTTAGCCCTTTAATAATATCATCCAAAGTTTGAAACTAGTCTTTAATTTATTGCTAAATTCTTTTAATGTAAACTATTGAATAATCTCACAAATAAGTATAATCTATTTTACTTTGAAAAAGATGAGAAATCACAAACTAATTTTGTAGATCATGTTTCTTGCTAATGTTTTTAGACTTACTAACTAACTAAGCTGATAATAATTTCAAGCTACACAAATAAACTAGATAAATACTTATTTTAGTTAATCTTAATATAGAGTAAAAACAGTTGGGTGTGGTGGTGGTGTTCAGATGGGGGGTGTTGGCACCCTCTAGCAATCCCCTAGCTGCGCGACTGCGTGTCTGCGTCCACCATCCACGGGCATCACGTAGGCGCACCATATGTATAACTTGTTGCATATATATGCATGCAATATGCACATTCTCGACGTTTCGAAACGTTGGGTTAAATTTTATAACTTTGACTATTAATTATTTTTTAAAAAATAATAAAGCAACATATATTGATTTATCTTACAAAGGACTATAACAAAGTAAAATTAATTATTTACTATATACACTATAATAAAAATATATTTTAAAGATTATGTTATATTGGAAACATCAATAATTATGAACCGGATGAAGTAAATTCCGTGAACCTCCTCAGCTTCTCTTGACGCCGCATCCTCACATTCTCACCTCCCTCTCGAGTCTGGACCATGCCCCAGCTTTAATTTGCTGGCGGCTCACCTCTTTTTGGTGTAGATCCATGCATGACCACCAAATCATTCTGTTCTTGATACCTCCTCCCTTCCGAATGTGTCCATCGTATCCGTGACAAATTCATCCCCCCAATCCAAAATCCTACCAAACGTCGAAGCTGTCATGGCTTCCTGAATGATTTTTGGTCACCATACTAGTAGCACACGACCATGCATTATCAGCTCATTACTGTCGGTTCGGCTTGAACCAATGGCGATTGGCTGTGTTTGGAACTCCAAATTCCCGACACCTCCCTCTCATTTTCCACGTGCACGTTTTTCAAATTGTTAAACGGTGTATTTTTTATAAAAAGTTTCTATATAAAAGTTGCTTAAAAAATCAAATTAATTTATTTTTTTAAAAAAAATAGCAAATACTTAATTAATCATACGCTAATGGACCGCTCTGTTTTCCGTGCGGGAAGATTGGGTTCCCAATCCTAAAATCTGAACACAGTGTGTATATAACTATATACCACTGACGGTTATCGCCACAAATCGGCATTGCTTCGAACTGTTTGGATGCCTGACGTAAAAGATAGCGGTCCGGGTTTTGAATTGGTTGGCTGGTCAATTGGACTGCCCAAGGGTTTAACAACTATCCAAGGTCCCTTCTTTTTCCCCGCAAACCACAATTAGAGAAACGGATTTGCTAAATAATGGAAAATACTATAGGACGATATCGTGTTAAATAATGAGAAATGTCCAAACGTGCTACCGTTCTGTATCATTTCCCGGATGTATGGATTGAACCCACGATCTCAAGTGTGCATGCTTGGGTCCCTCACCAACCAAGCAATGACACGATTCCAATCAGTTTTATGCCAGTTACATTGTAACTATAATTATACCATAATTACATGTAAAAGTTTTTCATCCAAAAAATGGTCAAAAGTTATATAGCTAATCCCTTAGAGAAATGACCCCACTAAGGGCCTCTTTGAATCGCAGGATTGAGAAAACGTAGGAATAGGAAAAACGTAGGATTTTGATAGGAATGTAAATGTAAAGCAGAGGATTGTAAAACGCAGAAAAAATATAGAAATGACCGTTTAATTGAGCCGCATGAAAAACGCAGGAATTGGATGAGAGAGATAGACTCAAAGAAAAGTTACCAAGAGGTTGAAGCTCTTGCTAAATTTTCTCCAAAATCTCTATAGGATTGTCCATTCCATAGGAATTTTAAAGGATTGTGAAGGATTCAATCCTTTATTTCAAAGGGCTTTATAGGAAAATTTCCTATAGGATTAAAATCCTCTAAAATTACTATATTTTTCCTCCAATTCAAAGGGTCCTAAAATACAAACAGTAATTGATCCCATGGATTAAATTTCTAGTTCAACCACTGGAGTTCTAAAAAGAAAAGTTCAACTACTGGTGACCTAGTGCACGAATCTTGATGTCGATCAAACGGCCAAAATTCGCAAGATTTAGGGCTGATTTGGTTTGAGGCCCTACCAAAATGTTGGTAGTGCCATAGAGTAGATTTATTACTATTTAGCCAATCCAAATACTATCATGAAGCTACTAAAATATTGGCATGGCACAAATTAGCACTAATCCAAACATGCCCTTATTGAACCAAATCAGCCAATTAATACTCCTCAATCACCAATTTACCACCCAAATACCCGGATCCAATTCTTGACTCGACGCACGAGTTACACACTTAACTACACGAGACGACGAAACTCGAGTAATTAAGCCCAGCCAGGGTCATATCGTTACCTCGCCGCCGCACCGGTGAGTGTGTCAGTCAACGCCACGAACCCAACTCCACTCATCCTCTCATCCCGCCTCTATAAATCCTACCCGTACGTGCTACCAACTGCTCGCTCGATCGATCGCCCACACGCGCTCCGCACGTCGACGCGCAAAACCCCTCCTCCCCTCCCCTCGCCGGCGATGGAGCCGGCCGCCGCCGCCGCCGCCGGGCAGCTCGACGTGGACAAGCTCACCTACGAGATCTTCTCCATTCTCGAGAGCAAGTTCTTGTTCGGTTACGATGATCCCAAGCTCGTCTTCAGCGGCGGCGACGAGCCGCAGGGGGCGGTGAAGGGGACTCTGGCGAGAGGCCCGGCGGTGGTGGAGCGTGGCAAGGTGTGCGTGCTGTCGATTGATGGGGGTGGGCGGGCGGCGGATGGGCTGCTCGCCGGCGCGGCGCTGGTGAGCTTGGAGGCGTCGCTGCGGCGGCGGACCGGGGATGAGACGGCGAGGCTGGCGGATTTCTTCGATGTCGCTGCTGGCTCCGGCGCCGGCGGCGTGCTCGCGGCGATGCTGGTCGCGCGCGGCGGGGATGGGCGGCCGATGTTCTCCGCCGAGGACGCGCTGGCGTTCCTCATGAGGAGCCTGCGGCGAGGGTGGTCCGGCGGCGGCGGCGGCGGCGCCGCCGGTGGCATCCGCGCGCTGTTCCGCCGCCCCGGCGCCGCGTTCCGGAAGGTGTTCGGCGACCTGACGCTGCGGGACACGGTGCGGCCGGTGCTGGTGCCGTGCTACGACCTCGCGTCGGCGGGGCCGTTCCTCTTCTCCCGCGCCGACGCCGTCGAGACGGCGGCGTACGACTTCCGCCTCCGCGACGTGTGCGCCGCCACCTGCGCCGGGTCGGACGGCTCGGCGTCGGCGGTGGAGGTGCGGTCCTCCGACGGCGCCACCCGCATCGCGGCCGTCGGCGGCGGCCTCGCGCTCGGCAACCCCACGGCGGCGGCCATCACCCACGTGCTCAACAACAAGCGCGAGTTCCCTCTCGCCGCCGGCGTCGAGGACCTCCTGGTCATCTCCATCGGCAGCGGCGAGTGCGACAACCGCCCCACCGGTGGCGCCGCCGCCTCGACATCCGAGATCGTCAGGATCGCCGCCGAAGGCGTCGCCGACATGGTACAGAAAAAAACAATCCATCCAGTGTGTCTCTCTGTGTGGTCCTCTTCTTCCTTTCTCGCATGCATTCTTGTTCTTCGTGCTCCCTTGGCTAACGCCTTCTCCCCGACGCATCCTTGACTCCAGGTGGATCAAGCAGTGGCCATGGCGTTCGGACATAATAGGACAAACAACTACATCCGTATACAGGTCAGAGAACTCACAGCCATCACTATACCACCATGATATCTTTGCGTTTGCTTTAGCTTGATCAATCTCCATCTCCATTGGTGTCTTTGATCTTGCAGGCGATGGGGTCGCCGCGGGCGAGCCGAGGAGGGATGAGATGCGGCGGCGGCGGCGGCGGCGATGGCGCGGGGTGGGGCGTGGCGGAGGAGATGCTGTCGCAGAAGAACGTGGAGTCGGTGCTGTTCCGGGGGAAGAAGCTGGCGGAGCAGACGAACGCCGAGAAGCTGGAGTGGTTCGCGCACGAGCTCGTCAAGGAGCGGGATCGCCGGAGGACGGCCGGCGCGCTCGCCCCCGCCGTCGTCAAGCAGCAGCCGTCGGAGTCGGCGCCGGCGACGGCGGCCGCCGCCGATGGCCACACGCCGCCGCCGACGTCGTACTCGAACCTGGTCAGCCAGATGTTCACCACCATCCTGTAGACCTGTAGACGTGCGTGCGTGGCAAGCGAAATGTGCTTCCGATGTATTGATTCTCTCCCCTTATTTTTGGCTGAATTTTGTAAATGCAGAGTAACAAAAATGTGCATGCTTGCCGTGATCTGTACGTAGGACATGCCTGTTTTTTTTTTTAATCTCCCTCTAAATCCTAGGATGCTTAATGGAGAGCTGGTAAGTTGACTAAAAGCTGTAGAATCAAGTTAAGTACTGCTAGTAGTGATAGCTGCAACCTGCAATCAAAGAAACTCAAGGCAAATAATAATATATTTAATTAAAAAGAAGATCAGATCACTGAAACAAAGTGCTAGATTTAATGAAACAATTCTAAGAAATTGTACTTGGCCTGTACTGTCAGAATTTCAACAGGCAATACAAAAGGTACACTCCTGAGCTGTTGCAAGTTGCAAGCTTCAGACTCCAGATTCCAGAACAGTAGTTGCTCGCAAGTCGCAAGTTTCCAACAAAAGAAAATAAATAGAACGTAGTTGCTCACACATCTAGCGTGATGACCCCGTTCCCCGTTGATGCACGGAGAATTTCAGTGTGGGTAGGGTAGAACTTGTCTGGCAATGTAAATTAGTAGTAACATGCATAAAATCTGGCTATTTGCATTTACTGCTATCACACAATCCAATGCAAAACTCATTCATGATCGGTCAACTTCACAATGTTTACCATGTGATAGAACTATAGAAATGAATGAGACGTCATGGAGATATTGATGTCTAGATTTTCGATGCAAAATGGATTTCTCTTTTCTTCTCTGTACCCAGAGGGAACAAATGCTAATCATATTCCAGAAAAGCAATAGTTATTTCCTACGCAAATGAAACTGACTATAGAATTCAAATAGTACTAGAATTCTTGTATTTCAGAAGCTACGAGGGTGTGAAAAATGGTAAATCCATGATTACCTGTAGGCCCAACAGAGGAGCAGTACTCCCTCCATACTAATAAAGAAAGTTATTTAGGACAGCGAAACGGTCTCCAAAACACAACTTTGATTTCTTATTTCTATAAAAATATTTATTGAAAAGTGATATATGTATATTTTTATGAAAGTATTTTTTAAGACAAATCTATTCATATAATTTTTATATTTTCAAACTCAACAACTTGAGAGTTATTTATGATTTATATTATCAAGATTTAACTTAAATATTGTTCTAAACGACTTTATTTACGAACACGGAGGGAGTATGCTAATTACTCCTTTAACGCAGCGGAGAGACAGGTTCTGGGCAGGCCGGACCCGGATCTGCGACTGCAAGAAGCATGCAGCTTAACTCACTTTAAGTAAAAACACCAAATCCGAGGTGCGCGTGTTGACGGGCTGGTGATGTATTCTTTGATCCGTCGAAATAGGTGGCACTCTTCATGCAACGTGGAGGCCTGGAGAGCTGCCGAGCTGGGCATCGGTTATGGCTTGAGATGCTCCAAATCCAGCAAATTTGTCTTCAAATGTGATTTGCCTCATATATATACTCTCCTGCAAGAGGCGTCACACCATTGATTCCACCCATCAAAAGATATAGTGCAAATGAAAAGATCACAGAAAACAGGGATTGTATCAGAATGCATGTATATATTGATGTCAGGAAACACATGTTCAACTTGGGTTGAAGGATTGGATGTCTTACTTTGTTATTCATGTGGTGTGGGGGACTGAGCTGATCCTAAATCCCAAGTAATGAGCATTTAGGTCATGTTAAGAGTAGCTTATTAACTGAGTGCATGGGCTACTGTATATTTTACCAGACACCACAGATCGGACCTACATATACTGTCCCCTTCTATGATGGAGTGGCCTAACAGCAATGTTGATAAACCATCATGTAAACAGCACCAGACCATACTAGTAGGTAAATAGGCATGCATAAAGCATAATGATCTAGGTTACAACTTACAGGCTACAAAGTAGTGCTGGTGGTGCAAAAGTAGCTCCAGGGGGTGATAAACAGGTACTACTCAGGAGTCAGGACAATGCCTAAGACAAAGGAGGGAATATAAAATTTCACTCCAGCCACACCAACCAGCCTTTTTCCAAAGATCAAAGCAGTAATTTGTACTGCATGCTACAGTGTGAAGATAGATCACTGATGAGAAACCAGCACTTGTGCACCAGATGGCATGAGCTCGGTATCACCATTCACTGCACCATTCAGGCATTCACTGGGAGGACCAGACACTCCCAGTTAGTACAGCTGAGGCTTTGAGTACTGCATGCCCACACTATAGTCTTGTCCCCCTCCCTCCCTGCTGCTTGCTTTGGATTCCATTTTCATGCATGCATAGGTACATAGGTCACACGTGTAGCATTACTAGTACATAAATCTGCTATGGCTTGTTTGTGTTTGTAAATGCAACTATGCAAGTAGCCAAGAATCTCTCTAGTCTCTACCCAGGGATGAAGTAATGGAGCCATCACTCATCAGCCATGCAACAACTTGCAACTTGAAGAGTTGGATCTAATCTCGCTCCTTTTGCACAAAAAAGATGATCGAACCACGTTTGCAAAGCGATTTCTTGGAAAGAGGAGTGATTAACTATTGTAAGTAGAAAAAAACCGCCCTGGGTAAGGTTAGTTAGCAGTTACCAGCTTCGTCCCCTCTGTTATAGTTTACTCTGGGGAGTCAGAATGACGGGTTATTTAGGGGTCTAGGATCTTTAGTCACATGTTTGGCTACAGTAGTGGAGATTTTTAATGTTTGTTGCTTTGTCATAGACGATCTTATAGTTTGTTTTCTTAATGAAGTTATATACATAGACAAATTAGACCTGCAGTGTTTGTCTAGGGAATCCTATCCTGCATCTCTGTAACGAAATTCGTCAATACAGACAAAGGAAAAACTGTTCATGCTCATGCTTTTATTTGGCTCTCTGGTTGTTCTCTTCCATTTTGTACTGGCCTGCTATTTTCAAGTAGCTAAGCTGCTGAAGTATGTAGTTGCCATAGCATCAAGGTTATAAATTGTGAAATGGATAAAAGTTGCGTTATAGTCATCATTTATTAATAGTCAATGGATCGTTCCTTCTTTTTTATGATTAGTCGATGGAGAAATTTCTTGAAGTCTGAAATTCAAATGACGGATCGTCCTAACTACCAAAAATAAATGGTAAACTCTGAAGAAGCACAAAACACGAGCAAGAGAATAAAATGCTTCCATATTTTACATCCAAAATAAATACACAAGATACGGATATTGCTGCATCAAATGAATGGAAAATGACTGCTTACTTGACAGGTTGATAGATATATATGATTGGGTGGCCACACGTACGCCACCATGCCAGGACCATGCATCTGCTGTGACTGTTGTGAGCAGCGTAGCGTACTTCGATTCAGTTGGGACCCTGGATGAAGCTTTCAGAAAATGTGCTGCTCACCTGCAAGAACAATCAGTCTGCATAGCGCACGAGCAACGCATGCAGACTGCCTATACCTAACTCGCAGCCGATTAGATTGTTTTAATCAATGGAAGTTTTAAAGAAAAAGATATGTGTTGTATTGATTATTGTATAGTACTATTGACGCAAGCAATACTTCTATAGGTGTGCAATATATATCTTATATAGCATTTGAATTGGCATAAATAAAGATGCAAAATATAGCTATAGCCAAATGCATTTTCCTACTATGAATTTGCAACCTCATTGACATATATAACAGAGTCGTAGATGCAGTTCACTGCATCTTCAAGAGAAAGAGGCATTGTTTTGGTAATATATGACAACAGGAGAGGGGCCTGGGAAACAAGAGTAAAAGGGGATTTTTCTCATAGAATGAAAAAAAAAAAGAAACAGGCCCAGGTATAGATTTATCAGGTAAGTATGGCCTAGACTAAACAAAAAAAAAAGCTACTCTGAAAAGTACTCTGTAGTAGCTCACAGAAGATGTATACGCATATTTGGGTTATTGCCAATCTCATAATCATTGAACTGAAAGAAATTTGTGGGTGCTTATAGTCTTAAGAACTATATATAGTTTATATACCCTTTCAATGTGACAGTTAATACCTTGAAAAAATGGAGAATGATAAGGCTATATTCTCTTACCTTTTTCACAGATGCTCATGAAGGGTGACCAATTTGCACATGAAAATTTCCTGTGGGACAAACCCAAAATTCTTCAACAAGAAAAGGAAAAGGTGGATGCAAGGATATAGGAATGTAAAGGCTAATAAGATGAACTCAGAGAATATGCAACAGATAATTGAAATGATTACATAGGGAACAAACCATGCAAAGCCTTCTTTTAAACTGAAAATCGTACCTGTTTCTGTTGAAGATGTGGAACCATTATGTGCAGCGATACAATTGCTTTGAGCATTTCTAGCTCCAAATAGTAGTGTGAATTTACTAACCTATTTATTCACTCACAATAGAGCACATATTGTACCAAAATACATCAGTAGACACTACCAAACTAAACTGAAAGTTGCTCTGTTGGGCAAATTAGATTAAAAACAAAGCTATAAGAATATGAAGTCTGGTTGGAAAAGATTTCTCCCAACAGTGCACTTAGACATTTATTATATTAGGTCGCTGGGCAGCATCTGATATCATTGCAAGGGTAGAAGACTTGAACACAAAAAAGCTATAAGGAATATCTAAATATGACAGTTTAAAGATATGATGGTCCTTACAGGACCTATGGACCACAAAAATCATAGCCTTTCCTGATGCTAAGAAATTGTTGGAGTGCAAAACTTTGTCCTCAATGAAATGGGATTTAAAATTGTAACTGTAAAGTATATTTAAACTCACATTTCAAGCATTACATGACCGTATTATAATCATGTCACCTTGAATGTGCTACAGTTAGACTTCTGAACTTTTAGGAAGTAGAATCCAATATAAAGGGTATGCAGACATTTCCACATATCTGTATAAAGTATCACCGAATTGAGATTGAGACCAACTGACAGAACAAATCTTGATCAATTATAACTATTGTTCCTTCATTTCTGTCAAATTAATATGTTCAGCAAGCATTCTCCAAAGGCTATTCTGCTACATCACTTGCATGACAAGCATGTTCCCTAACCCCCTAGTAATATTTGGTGACATTCCATGATACACAACCAGATAACAGGAGTGGTTGGTGTATGGCTTCTTTACAATATCCATCATGCATTTCATCTTGTGCACTCATACAAGGTTCTGTCTGGCAGACAACCTAGACTTGTAGTTAGTGTGTTTTAGTCCAAGGCATAGTAGGCCAACAGAGAAACAGCACTTCCAGTGGAACCTGGCTTTTCTATATGACATGGAATAGATAATAAAGCAAATAAACTTCATAAAAAATAACATTGCCATCGGTACTGATTTCTTATTTCATACCTAATTGGTCGGTAAACAATATGGCCCTCAACTCTCAGTTGGGGTTTGATTAACTGTTTCTGTAAAGTGGATGCACATAAATACAAACCAAGGAGGAAATGGAAGAATTGTAGGAGGTTAGCCACAACTCACAAGTCACAACCCTGACGGAAAGTTTAAACACCGTAGTATTTTGGAGGCTCCTCTCATGCCACTAAGGACTGCTCCTTCCACACTTGGACTTGTGCAAAAATCTCCGCAAATAGCCAATTTCATGCTCTTATCCCAAACACACTTGTCGTCTCCACTTATAGCGATGGCTGGGAAAGCACTGCCCCTGCATTTTGTTTAACATGAAAACTAGCAATGTCGACGGAATATGGCATCAATAATTGGGTAAGATTTCAACCTAGAATACTGACCATCTGTGGGCTTTCATAAAGATTGGCTGTGGTATGTTCAATCCTGTAGCCTGAAATTCTTTGAGCAATTCCTCTGCCACTTTAGCAAGGGCATCAGCTGAAGGTTTCCGTGGACCAATATTATTGATTACCTTTGAAGCATACTCAGCTGTCGAATGCAATACCCAAGACTGACTGAATACACAGAGTTAATGAAAATGAACCACAACACAGCAAAAGATCTTCAGTGTGTACAAAAGTCTCAAAATAAATACACACCTGTTAAGCGGTACATGAGCACGTCCTGGCTTGCTACTATCACAAAAGGCCCAGCTTAGGTAGTCAGAATTATTGAATGAGAAACCTTGAACAGGTACCTGATTGAAATATCATGGGACAGAAGAATAAACTGACTGAATGAAAACTACAAAATTTTCCAAGCATCATATAATAGACAACTTGCAGGATTGATTAGATTATGTGAATAATAAGGGCGATTGAAGATCCCTTTAGTGCTATGCTATTTAGGAATTTATTTTTTTCTCAGCAAATGGTTCCATCTAAATGTATTGTGATAACTGATAGCAGGCAGAAATGTGCTGTGACAACTGATAAAAGATAATGGAATCCTATTCAACTTAACATAATAGCAAGTAGAAATGCATTGTAATAACTGATAAGAATGAAGTGTGTTACAAACTTGCCATGGAAATTTCATCATAAAATAGGTAAGTGGAAGAACAAGTGAGGGGAATGGTGATGATCTGGAGTTACATGAATGGCTAACATGTAGGTTGCATATACCTTAGTCAAAGGCTCTGAGAATGCTAACATAAGAGCAAAACAGGGGCGAACAGGGATATCCTGAATCATCATTGACAATTGTGGAAGCAATGACAAATCTGAGAAGGAAAAATAATGCAACTGCTCAGACATTCAGCTGAGATATCATAAAAATACCGCTGTTCTGTGTAATTAGGAACAATGGTACAATGTATCCTACATGAGTCCAATCAAACACCGGTTTATTTTGACATTAAGTAACCTGCATTGTACCCTTCATTAAATGTGCATTTTCTTGCTGTCAACTTATTGTTTGGACATGGTAGCTGCAAAACCATATTCTTTAAAAGGAAAAAAGGAACAATCTTCCATAAGGAGGCAGGCATAGATTCATATAGGAGCATTTTCTTACTGTCTTCACTATTTTGTCAATCTATTACTACATTTTAAACAAATGTAGAAATCTTAAGATACAGACAATGATAAAATTAAGTTATAGAAAACAAGAGTTATTTTTCTAATCAAAGATAAATATGGTTATCCTGGTTACCATAAACCGTCAGAAAAATTAGAACAAAGAATTTATGGTGAAAGAATATTTTCTTTAATTAATTGTAGTGCTAGACCTCCTGATCAATATAATTTGCTAAAAAAAACTATTGTACAATATTGTCTTTCAAAACATAACATAAGTTCATAAACCCATTATTTTGAAACTTGTGTTATGGTAGTGCATATTATGAAGATAATAGAATAAAACGAACCAAGAGGCGGTGGTCTTCCAGTTAGCCCAGAAAATCTTGGTGATGCTATATTCTTATCGGTTGCTACAACATAATCAAAATGGCCAAGATCTCTCCCATCCAAACTAGCCAGTAACCATGAACTCCTATCTTGAATCCAGTCCATCCTGCCAATGGTGACACCAAATTTGGCCACCACACCTAACAGGCACAAGAGATAGCATGTATGAGCAGCAAGTTCTAGATTGCTGGTACTGAAGAGTCATAAACTCATAATGCTACAAAGTAAGTCTAACCATCCTCTAGACAAAGTGATTTGCATATTGAGTTCATGCCTGGCACTCCCACATACTTCTTAATTGTTCCCTCCTGTGCGAATATAATGCCAGAAAGCTTATGTTAGTAAGTAGAAAGTATCATTTTAAGCGGTGCAGATACATAAGACTACATATCATTCTAATCCACCCCCAACTCCATCTTTTGATAAGGATCAGCACTACAATAGTACCATCAACATCAGAGACATCACAGGTTAAGTTGATTCTGAACATGTGAGTAACGGTAGTTCGATCTATCCACTAAATTTTTAGAGTACTGCACATTATATATTCAGTGATGAGTAGATTTGGCAGCAGAAAGATGGCTTACTATTCCAAGTGCAACCTACTGCATTCTGCATTCAGACATTCAGTTAAGGGGTTCACCAGTAAACTATCCCAATTCCCACAGTCATGCTACCACTAGATACGTGACATGTTCAAGTTGAAGCCTCAACTATGGGAGGGTTTCGAAGCCTAGAACCTTCTCGAAATCAGTGAATTTGCCGGCCTCCCGATCGAAGCACGCGAACATGGCCTTCCACTCGGCGACGAGCCCCCGCGCCTCCCACCCGCTCACGACCCGAGCAACCTCGTCGTTGCTCACGGTGAAGTATGGCGCGCCGTGGTCGAATCGCAGCTCCGTGCCGTCCTCCATCACCTCCCTGCGCCCACACAAACCAGCAAAATGGGGTGGAAAAAATAACAGCACCGATCAGCGCGGAACCAACACACGCGGCCCGGGCAGTAAATTGGTCGAGCACCTCCGCTGCGCCATGCGGCCACCGGCCCCGCGGCCGGAGTCGAAGAGCGTCACCGCCACGCCGCGCGCGGCCAGCAGCGACGCGCATACAGCGCCCGATACTGCATCGGTGGACAAACCAAAAAGGGGATCGCAGGTACGGGTCAGTTCAAACGGGAGCAATCGGATCAGAGAGAGAGGATGAGGGATTGGAATGGGCTGCGTCTGCTTACTTCCGCCCCCGATGACGGCGACATTGGCAGCCGAGGCGGCTGCGGCGGCGGCGGCGGCGCTCATTGTTCGAGGCTTCCCGGCGACGGGGTGCGGTGCGGAGAATGGAGAGCTTTTCCGATCGAGGCGGGAGGGCTTGGCTGCTTCCGCGGTGAAGAGATTGCGCGCTGCGGCGTCGACGTGGCGTCTCGTGGACCCCTCGCTTTTCTGGGCTCTTCTCCATCCGGCCCAGCAACTGAATTTGGCCCATAAGGTCCAAGTCTTCTGGACTAATCTTTTCGCTCATGCTTATACTTATACTTATCAGCCAAACCAAAATTTGAATTTTTAATCTTAAATTTAAAGTTGATTTTAGAGTTTTTTTTGTTATCAAAGTTTATTTTACAACATTTGCTTTTAGGTCACTAAGAAGCGGAAATCCTGTTTGGCGATCGATCGCCCTGGGGATGGATCAGCGATCGATCCCCTCCCCCCTCCCTCCCACCACCCCTCCACCTGGTTTTCATTTTTGGCACCGCATTATTTTCTTATTTTAGTAAATTTATACACCTAAAGTTTATACACCTAAAGTTTATACATCTAAAGTTTAGAGACCAAAAGTTTATAAGTCAAAAGTTTATATATCCGATTCAAATTTGAATTTGAATTCAAATATTTTTTTTATATATAGTATTTCTATACATCTAAAGTTTATAGACCTAAAGTTTATAGATCTAAAGTTTATAAGTCAAAATTTTATATACTCGTTTCAAATTTGAATTTGAATTCAAATATTTTCTATATATCATATTTCTATACATCTAATGTTTATACACCTAAAGTTTATAGATCCAAAGTTTATAAGTCAAAAGTTTACAGACCCGATTCAAATTTGAATTTGAATTATGTCGACGTTTGATGTCTCGACTACGGTATTTGGACAGTATGGGGATCGTCGGTGCTAGGATATACGCGAGACTGAGGTAAAAGAAATGGGGACGAGGATTTTTATGCAGGTTTGGGCCCCTGAATTGTCAGGTAATAACCCTACATCCTGTTGGCCGAAGCCGGTATTGCTCTTTATTCACTATAATCACACCAGTACAATATGTGGGGTAGCCTATCTAACTGTTGTCGACATGGCGGTCTGAAGGTCTGACTCGTAGTCGACAACAGGGTAGCCTTCCTCCTCGAGCTCGCGCCCTGACGGAATCAGAGACAGTGCTAGATCCCTATGGCCGGCCTCTGAAGGTACCGGATAGGGTCGATCCAGGCGTATCTCTGATGTCGATATCTGGCGGCTTGTCTTGGCGTATGTTGACTTGTATGCTGTGGCTTCTATGTCGATTGTGTTGGGTGTTGATTTTGTCAGGTGTTAATCCTGTTGGGTGTTGATTGTCTTGTCCCCCATGGTGGTTGTTGATCGTGTTGATCATCTCATATCATGGGTGTCCCCCTGTCCTCCTAGGGGGGCTTGTATTTATACCCATAGGTGTCCCCTCGTCCAAGTAGAACTAGGGAAACCAATATGGATACAATCCGAGTAGTCCTTGTTGTTTCCATGTAGAACTCTGGTTGTCTTTTCTTATCCAGAACTCCCTCCATATCTGAAGTCAGTTTCCGTATAAGACATGGTATGTGGTGGATCCTGCCAAGATTTAGTCAACTACTATTAGGTATGTGGTATCCATAACCCTGACAGTAGCCCCCGACTTCGATGCAAATGAACGAATTCATATTCTCAACCGCGCGCAAACATTGGAGTAACTGTTATCGAGCTCATGTGACCGTTCTCGGTGAGTTTAGAGATAACGTTGGACTTCCTTTGTCAACCTCGTGCGAGCACCGAAAGGGTTTGTGTAAGTCAATCTCTGATGTCGACCGAGAAAGTATAGAGCGTACGACTAATTCTCACATCTTGCTGTAATCGAGAATTTGGATTGAAGTCAAGAAATTTTATCTCGGCGGGTACACCATCTCTTCATTCCGTATTCCTTGTCGAGATCTAGCAACCGTTCTCGAGCGATTGAGAAGGCGTAGAGTCTGCGACGGAACTTTGTCGACATTGGTCGTACTCGCCTTAGTCGATCTTGGTGTAGAACCATAGAGACATGGAGTCTTCGTCAATGTCGAATAGAATTTTCCTGAAATCAATACTCAGAAAAGAATATCAAATAAAAATAGCCCCCGAGCGAACGCTCAAAGGGTGACACGTTATAATATGACAGACTAGTGAATTGAATGTACAGACCAGTGCTTTGTATATGAGTGTCTTCTCTCTTACCGACTCCGATCAGTCAGTTTGTAGAGTCATACACTCTCCGTAGCCCCCAGCCTTGTCGTCGGAGAATCGTTATCAGAAGATAAGGCTCTTGGACCTTTGACCTGCCTCGGTTGAACAAGCACTGATTCTAGCCCCTAGCCGTGAAGTTGGAAAATCCATTTCCGATTACACGGCTTAGTTAATACGCACGGCGAGAACTCTTACACGACCAGATCTTACATGGTCTTTCGTCTCTGAAGGATCCGACAAGGCCTTATCGGCTCTGGGCGTGCCCAGCCGAAGTTCCCTCAGGTTCCTCGGAGGCCTTGTCAAGACGGCGTAAAGGGACAGTAGGATAGGTTTCAACGCTAGGTGTCATCTGGGTAAGGGATCTCTGGGTAAAACACTTGGCGATCTTGTGTACCTAACATCAACTTTATTGAAGCAGGGGTAATGGGAGAATCGCTGGTCGAGGACCAGACAGTAGTTGTAACTCGACCATTTGAAGTGGAAATAGTGGGAGAAACGAGAAACACTACATCGCTAGTCGAGGACCAGGCAGTAGTCGTAACTCGACCACTTGAAGTGGAAATAGTGGGAGAAACGCTACACCGCTGGTCGAGGACCAGGCAGTAGTCGTAACTCGACCACTTAAAGTGGAAGTAGTGGGAGAAACGCTACATCTCTGGTCGAGAACTAGGCAGTAGTCGTAACTCGACCACTTAAAGTGGAAGTAGTGGGAGAGACGCTACATCGCTGGTCGAGGACCAGGCAGTAGTCGTAACTTGACCACTTAAAGTGGAAGTGATGGGAGAAACGCTACATCGCTGGTCGAGGACCAGGCAGTAGTCGTAACTCGACCACTTAAAGTGAGGCAAGAGAGATCACTACGTTTTACTGGTTCGAGAACCAGGAGTAGGAGTCTCTTAATCACCTATAGGGGCGCTAAAGTTGGTTTATTACATGTGCATATCATGTGGCCAGCATGACTCCCATACCCAACTTATAGCATATCCGGATATCCGTTCGCAATCATGTCGGGTGATCAAGCCGACGGCGTTCGCGAGGAATTATCCGTTAACAACCTTTTCTCGAGTAGTCCAGCGATGGCCGGTGCTATGAGATAGGTCGTCGGTCTTCGTTGGCAGGTTGGGTGCGATAACTCCGCATTTGTCGAGAATGTTCTCGATAATGGAGTGTACTCGATCATAACCTACTCGAGTGCTCAATTGTTCCTGAAAAATATTTTCTAGAATGCAAGATATATAGCAGATAATATCGAGTATGTACTCAAAAAACTGCATGGATCTTCTAGTATTATCAGGACATAACGAGCAGATGTAATTATTAGGCATTATGTAAACCGTAAACAAGAATGATTTATACATAAGAGAACGGAGTGAGCCCCCGGCGTTAGACAATAGTTGGCCTATCGTCGGAAGTACTCGCACAATGGATATTGTATAAGAAGTATGCTCTAGGTAAACATAATAAATTATTGATCTGACAATACTGTATGATCTGAAAAGTAGGTACGGTAAATTGTGTATATAATATTGCGTACCTTTGTAGATACATGCCGGATGTATATACGGAATTATTAGATTAATTAAAAATCAATCTTACTAATTACCTTATTTGACTTGCATATGGTGAACAGCCATCACACGTGGCTCCCGAGATGATACACGTGTACTGTACGGGGAGTCCACCAATCCGATCAGTGCATGGTCTTATGTGCTGATGTCATGCATGCTCCAAATGGTTTATTTTTCAACATTTGCTTCTAGGTCACTAAGAAGCGGAAATCCTGTTTGGCGATCGATCGCCCTGGGGATGGATCAGCGATCGATCCTCTCCTCCCTCCCTCCACCTGGTTTTTATTTTTGGCACTGCATTATTTTCCTATTTTAGTAAATTTATACACCTAAAGTTTATACACCTAAAGTTTACACATCTAAAGTTTAGAGACCAAAAGTTTATAAGTCAAAAGTTTATATATCCGATTCAAATTTGAATTTGAATTCAAATATTTTTTTTATATATAGTATTTCTATACATCTAAAGTTTATACACCTAAAGTTTATAGAACTAAAGTTTATAGATCTAAAGTTTATAAGTCAAAAGTTTATATACCCGTTTCGAATTTGACTTTGAATTCAAATATTTTCTATATATAGTATTTCTATACATCTAATGTTTATACACCTAAAGTTTATAGATCCAAAGTTTATAAGTCAAAAGTTTACATACCCGATTCAAATTTAAATTTGAATTATGTCGACGTTTGATGTCTCGACTACGGTATTTGGACAGTATGGGGATCGTCGGTGCTAGGATATATGCGAGACTGAGGTAAAAGAGATGGGGACGAGGATTTTTATACAGGTTCGGGCCCCTGAATTGTCAGGTAATAACCCTACATCCTGTTGGCCGAAGCCGGTATTGCTCTTTATTCACTATAATCACACCAGTACAATATGTGGGGTAGCCTATCTAACTGTTGTCGACATGGCGGTCTGAAGATCTGACTCGTAGTCGACAACAGGGTAGCCTTCCTCCTTGAGCTCGCGCCCTGACGGAATCAGAGACAGTGCTAGATCCCTATGGCCGGCCTCTGAAGGTACCGGATAGGGTCGATCCAGGCGTATCTCTGATGTCGATATCCGGCGGCTTGTCTTGGTGTATGTTGGCTTGTATGCTGTGGCTTCTATGTCGATTGTGTTGGGTGTTGATTTTGTCAGGTGTTAATCCCGTTGGGTGTTGATTGTCTCGTCCCCCATGATGGTTGTTGATCGTCTCATATCATGGGTGTCCCCCTGTCCTCCTAGGGGGGCTTGTATTTATACCCATAGGTGTCCCCTCGTCCAAGTAGAACTAGGGAAACCAATATGAATACAATCCGAGTAATCCTCGTCGTTTCCATGTAGAACTCTGGTTGTCTTTTCTTATCCAGAACTCCCTCCATATCTGAAGTCAATTTCCGTATAAGACATGGTATGTGGTGGATCCTGCCGAGATTTAGTCAATTACTATTAGGTATGTGGTATCCATAACCTTGACAAATTATATCCGATTCAAATTTGAATTTGAATTCAAATATTTTATATATATAGTATTTCTATACATCTAAAGTTTATACACCTAAAGTTTATAGACCCAAAGTTTATAAGTCAAAAGTTTACATACCCGATTCAAATTTAAATTTGAATTCAAATTTTTTATTTATATAGTATTTCTATACATAAATTTACTGTAGTGAAAAAATTTGTGTGGTGTACTGTAGTAGAAAGAGAAGAAGGGGGAGAAGAGGGAGGAGTATAGGGGTAGGCGGGGTAAACCGATCGCTAGGCGATCGCCCATTAGCCTCCCCCACTAAGAACACGTATATAAAAGTTTTATTCACAAATTATTTTTTGTTTGCAAATAGGGAATAAGCAAAACGATGGGGCCGCTCTTTTCTGGACTTTTTTTATTAAAAATGTCGTGCGTAATTTTTTTTTTACGAAACGTAACTATAGTTGATAATATTATTACACTTGGGTTAACTTGCATTTACACCACAGTAACTGAGAACTAATTGCGTCCACTTCTCCACTATAAAAACCATTCAAGCCTCCGGATTCCAGCGCAAGAGGCACAGCGCGCCACTCCACACGAAATGGCCAAGCTCACGGTATTCGTGGCCATCCTCGCCGTCGCCGCCGCCGCCGCCGCCGCGGCCGTCTCGACGACGACGGCGCACGGCGTCGCCGTCGGCCGCCGCGCTCTGGATGAGTACAGGAGCGTGCTGCGCGTGATCGTACCCTTGGAGGTGGCCGGAGCGCCATCGTCTGGGTCGTTGGACGACGACGCGGCGGCGGCTCTCGGCCCCGACCTGCCGGAGTTTGGAGCTGCGCCGGCGGCTGGCCCCGCCGCGGCGGCGTGCGGCGGCGATGAAGTTGACTGCGACAACAAGGTGCCGGTGTATGGGCCGTAGCCCATGTCGTGTGAAGGTTTTCACTTCGTCGCCTACGGAATTGATGAAGTGCGTCGTTTTGACCATGTAAATGGCCTTCAGATTATTATTGTTACACCTGAATAATGAAATGCAGAACTATATATATCCTAATTTAATCACCTTATGTTTTTTTTTCTCTCTAGGATAAATGTTGCTAGCTAGTGATTTATCATATTTGGATATGTGAGACTCCAGCAAAGATACAGCAATGTGACAGATTTTTTTTCTTCGTGCATGGTTTATTATCCTCGTCTTCTTCATCGGCTCCATTTTAGATAGCTGAAATTGATGGATTAATGGATTACCTGATTTTCTTTATAGCTATTTAAGGGTACAAGCGAATAAATTAAATCATACAAAATTGAAAGGTTGTTCTACAAAAGTATCTCAGGAAAATTTGATATAGAATTCTCCTTTACACGAAACACACCGCTTAGGAAGCTTGCAAATGAAAATCCAAAATCATAATCAGTGAAGAACAGGGCCGGCCATCGTTGTCAGCATTCTTTTTTTTCCTCAAACAATAAATTAATGTGTTTCCATTTAAAAGAAAGAAACAAATTGTCTTCCATCCGAATATCCAAAATAAAGCCAAACCAAGGTGACCGCCGAGCAATCTACCTCAGTCCAGAACTTAAACGACATTGCACAAACCGTTCTGTCGTTATAAGATTCGATGATGGTTCATATGCAGATAAAACTCCAGAATCTGCTTACAAAATAAACAATAGGTTAGATGCTTGCGGGGATTTTTTTTTTGGAATGCTCAATTAACCTTGGCGAATGGACATATCAGAGAAATGTACACATACTCGAACAAAATTTTGTTTCTGAACCAATGAGATTAAGAACAAAATTTGCAGCAAGAAGACAACAAACTCACTAGCATTTCAAATATTCCATACGATATATTTTAGGTGTTTTTAGATGAAAGATCATCACGATCCGGCTTTGAAAGAAAGCCTAGACGTCCATTACAGAGGTTAATTACAAGCCCAACCTAAAAACAATAGGAAACATACCAACACTAATTCCATCACAGGAGCTTGCATCTAGCAACATCTTCTACCCAAGTTCCACACAAAAACACCCAAAAGATCAATTTTCCTAACCCACGAGTGCTATTTTTTCAGATCTCCAGCGGCAATACATCCTGAGGATATGTTTAAGTAGGAGTTGAACTGCAGATATACTGCAGAGCCACATCCAAAGCCAAAATAAGCTTAATATATCTGCTTCTTGAGCAGAGTAAACACTAGCTAGTACTCCTGGTAGAACTCCAGATAGATCTACAGAGAGCACAGAAAACGTTGAACGAATCAATCGTTGAATTCATATTCAAAATCCTCGAATTCGTCTTCAAAATCACCCATCAGGTCAGCACCCATGGAAGCCATAATGTCATCAGGAAGCCGCTCAGGGAGGCTTTGCACTATTTTCTCCCACTCCAGTCGGAACCTCAGTGCTTCGTCGGCGTAGCTGCAGAAGAGCTGAATTGGACTGAAAGGAGGTTCAGTAGAAACGAGGAAGACGGGATTCAACGAATCTATGGCTCCGCCGATCTTGGTCGTCTCCTCGCTCTCGAGTTCATACATGTAGATGTCCGCGGATGTGAGGTCGTCGCGCTCCTGGTAGTAGATTCGGTTGCCATCAATGGCGTTGAACTTATCCGCGTTGATGGATATGCACCTGGTGGCGCCGACGAAGATGGCGCGGCCGCCGCCGATGCTCTTCACCTCCTCCAGCGATCGATCTCCTTCACCCCTCCCGTGCTCATCTTGTAAATCTGCACGATCTTTCTGTCCATCTTGAAGATGAGCAGCGCTTCCCCCGCGGATTCCACCACGAAGCAACGGAACGCGGGGTTCGCGCGACATGTGTTTGTGATTTTGACGGCGAGAGGGAGCCCCGTCTTGATGGCCTCGGGGACCAGGATCGACGCCACCGACCCTAGCTCGCCGGCGGCGGCGTAGCGGCCACCGACGACGGCCAGCCTGATGAGAGCGCACGCGTAGCTCTCCTCGAACACGGAGAAGCCTTCGCTGTCGGGGTCGGCGAAGTAGACCTTGGCGGAGTCGTCGGCGAGCAGGACGAGGGTGGGCGAAGCGCCGATGACATGGGCATCGAACCCGTCCTCGCAAGGCAGCGGCGCCGCGAAGCGCGTCGTGGCGCCGCGCTTCGCGGCGCCGGTGAACGGGTTGAGGACGCGCACCGCGTGCGGGGGGGCTCGCCTCGGCCAGCACGAGGTCGCCGCCGGGGGCGCTGGCGACGAGGCGGTAGCGGCGGCCGCGGCCGAGCAGCGGCAGGTCCATGCGGAGGAAGCGGCCGGTGGCGGCGTTGGCGAAGAGGCGCGCGTCGGTCTGGAAGACTTCGTCGAGCATGGCCCAGTGGCGGGGGCGGAAGCGGGGGTCCCGGGCGCTCGCCCCCCTGGGGTCGTCGGTGGCGGAGCGCCAGCAGCGGCAGACGGCGCGGTAGCCCATGTAGTAGTCGAGGTCGCCGGTGTGGAGGAAGCAGCGGGCGATGCGGTTGATGAGGTCCACCGGCAGCGTCGACCGGGGCTTTTAACTATTTGCCACACTTACCAGAGTGGGGCTTAACGATTTGCCACTAATTCCACATATTATAGACACATAAGGGTTCATATGTTATAGACACGGTGTGACAAATCGTTAATTGACATGTCACAAGAGTGACAAATAGATAAATTTTCCGCGTCAGAGCTTTTAACTATTTACCGCTTTATGAGTGGTGGTTAACGATTTGCCGCGACCAGTCCGCCATTGCCGTAGGCTGGAGGAAGGGGTGAAAGGTTTGGAAGCAGTGCGGAAAGCAGCTGACCGACGGGCGACGGTGGCGCGATTTGAAGGGACCAGTGGCTGCACTGCCCGGGGGATGTGGAGTAGACTTTTATTGTGGCGTTTTCCAACGTGGACGACGAGGCGAAAGGACGTCCTACTCCCCTACTATGCGCGATTCCCGGGGGAGGTGGGGAGGTGGTGGGACGTGTGGGGGTGGGGCCGTGGGGGAGTGAAAGGAAGGCAGAACGCTGAACGCAGAAGCGAGGCTTTGTTTAGATTTCAAAAAAAAAAAAAAGCCAAAACTTCGTATAAAATGTTTGACACATACACGTAGCATTAAATATATAGATAAAAAAAATTAATTGCACAGTTTATATATAAATTTCGAGACGAATCTTTTAAGCCTAATTACGCCATGATTTGACAATATGATGCTACATTAAATATTTGTTAATAACGGATTAATTAGTCTTAATAAATTTGTCTCGCAGTTTATAGATAGAATCGGTAATTTATTTTGTTACTAGTCTACATTTAATACTTCAAATGTGTGTCCGTATACTTCAATAATTTTACACCCAAAGAATTAAACACACCCTTAGCACCAATGTGTAGCACAATCTAATCTTAATGTGGGCCCTAATACAAGTTGACTATAACTATTTCTATTGCCACAATGCTTAAGGCCTTGTTTAGTTCTAAACTTTTTCTTCAAACTTCCAACTTTTCCATCACATCAAAACTTTTTTACACACATAAACTTTCAACTTTTCCATCACATCGTTCCAATTTAAACCAAACTTCCAAATTTGACGTAAAATAAACACACCCTAAGTTTACATAAGAATAGATGTTGGCCCATTCACACTTGCCAAACCAACCATTTAAGAATAGAGAAGAGAGAGAATAAATTCTTCGATTTCTTTATTCTCTTGTGGTGCACTCTAAACTTATGGTTGTTTTTCTTCACAAATTTTGACAGTTTGACCCTTTGCAAAAACTATTTTTACAAATGAACCGCTGCCAAAACTTATTTCAAATCTGATCCTTTTTGCTCAACGCCAAATCATGTGGCGTTGAACTTAGATACCTCAGCGCCACGTCAGCTGGCATTGAATGCCGTGCCACGGCGGATGGGAGACTAAGTCAGCGTGCCAACGTACATTCAGCGCCATGCTATTTGGCGCTGAGGTGTCTAAATTCAGCGCCACACGATTTGGCGTTAAGCAAAAGGGTCAGATTTAAAATAAGTTTTGGCAGCAGTTCATTTATAAAAATAGTTTTTGCAAAGAGTCAAATTGTCAAAATTTATGGTTTTTCTTGTTGTTGCCTAGTACTAGCTTATTGCCAATGCTATGATGCACTTTAAGGATCTTAAGGTTACACTTTTGCGACATTGTGGTTGCCCTTAGACATATAAAAAATTTTACAGGAAAGTTATTTAAAAAAATCGTGTTAATCTTTTCTTCATTTTTTCTAATACTTAATAAGGTTAATTAATTGTGCACTATACTCCTTGCGTTTAAAAGAAAGGCTCTGTTTAGTTCGTTCGTGTGCCAAAATTTTTGAAGTATACGAATACACATTTAAAGTATTAAACATAGACTAATAATAAAATAAATTATAGATTCCGCCTGTAAACTGTGAGACGAATCTATTAGGACATTCCCAATCCAAGACACTAGACATAGTTTCCATAAACTCTACATCATCAAGAAACTAGTACTAGACACTACTCTTCCAATGCAAACACTACTATTCCATACTTAAATTTAATGCTACTTATCTCACATAATGTCTTGGATGTTGTGTAGAAACCATGTCTCATGCAAGACATGGTTTCCTTCTTTTTCCTCATTTATTCAATTGCCACATCATTTTTCATCCTAGGTGTCAGGGTTATAGATACCACATACCTAATAGTAGTTGACTAAATCTCGGCAGGATCCACTACATACCATGTCCTATACGGAAGAGGAGTTCTGGATAAGGAAAGACAACCAAAGTTCTATATAGAAACGACAAGGACTACTCAGATTGTATCCATATTGGTTTCCCTAGTTCTACTTGGACAAAGGGATACCTATGGGTATAAATACAAGCCCCCTAAGAGGAGAGGGCAGAGGATGAACACCCAACATAATCGACATAGAAGCCACAACATAGAAGCCTACATACGCCAAGACACGCCGTCGGATATCGACTTCAGGGATAAGCACGGCTAGTACCCTACGGTGTCTCCGGATACTGTCAGGAGAGACGAAAGCACTATCTCTGATCTCGTCGGGCACGGATTCGAGGAGAAAGGCTACCCTGCTGTCGACTATGGGTCAGATCGTCAGACCGCCATGTCGACAGCAGTTAGATAGGCTACCTCAAATATTGTACTGGTGTGATTATCATGAATAAGAGCAATACCGGCTTCGGCCAACAGGATGTAGGGTTATTACCTGACAATTCACAGGCCCGAACCTGTATAAAAATCCCTGTCTCCATCTCTTTTACCTCAGTCTCGCGTATACCCTAGTACCGACGATCCCCATACCATGCAAATACCGGAATCGCGACATCAAACGTTGACACTAGGTGACAACTTATTCAATGCTATGGACACCATCCTAGTTATTGGGTTGGGAATGCCCTTAAGCCTAATTAATCCATTATTAGCAAATATTTATTATAGCACCACATTACCAAATTATGGCGTAATTAGGCTCAAAAGATTCGTCTCACGATTTACATGCAAACTGTGCAATTAGGTTTTTTCGTCCACATTTAATGTTTCATGCATGTGTTCAAACATTTGATGTGACGGAAAATTTGAAAGTTTAAAGAAAAAAATTTGAATCTAAACACGGCCAAATACAATCTAGGAAAGGATGTGACCCCTTGATCCCTTCGTTGTAATAGAAGCGCCGGGACACATCCTCAGTACGTTCGTCTCGTTTTACGTCTAAGGAGAGAAGGGCTATGAGGCTGCGTTCGGGACCCCCACGGCATCAACCAAACCGGTGAAATCTTTCGTTGATCAGCTTGGATCGACATACGCATAGCACGTCCTCTGTACTCATATTCATCCTTCTTTCCACAAATTTCATTCGCATGAGAGAGGAAAGACACAAGTGAAATCTGAACAAGAAAATGGATGGATACGTACAAGTTGTTGCTGCTGCTCTGCAACACTCTATCGTGGAATCGCAGTAGATGATGAGCCCCATCACCGATTTCCTTTCTATAATATATTTTACCAAGACAAATTTATTATAAAAATATATTTGTTTACATCTAAATTTGTCACCTATGGATGAAATAGAGGAAAATTGCCAAAGTTTGAAAATTACCGGGTTTCCTTCACAGGGCCGGTCAGACCGCAGGTATATGGGCGGTCTGACCGGCTAGTAGGGCCGGTCTGACCGCAGGTATGTGGGCGGTCAGACCGGCAGGGTCCGAGTCCGAGTCTGTTTTCGTCGGGTCTCGGGTTTCCTTGCTCGGGAAGGCATATTTTGTGTTTTCTTTGGTTTCTATCCCGAGTTGGACGTGGAGAAGGGCCTGTAGAGGGCAAGACCAACCCCTATTTAAGGGACAAGGCCGGTTCATTGTAAAACCCCCGAATACAATCTATTTGAATCGTTCTTTTACTATGTTTTCTATTGAGTAAATTTCACAAAACTACAGATACTTTGATCAAACTATCACAAAACTACAGATTTAAGAATGTATTTCACAAAACTACAGATTTAGAGTTAAATTTATCATGGAACTACAGATTTAAGGTATTATATCACAAAACTATTGATTTAACAACTATTTTATTACAAAACTACACATTTAAAAACTATTTTATCACAAAACTACAAATTTTATAACTTTAAATAAATAATAGTGCTATGATCTAAACTCTAGAATATGTAGTTCTTTGATAACTTAATCACTAAATCTGTAGTTTTGTGATATGGTGCATTAAATCTGTAGTTCCGTGAAAAGTTTAACGCTAAATCTGTAGTTTTGTGATACACATTCTTAAATATATAGTTTTGTGATAATTTGACACAAGTATATGTAGTTTTGTGAAATTTACTCTTTTCTATTTTACCCTAGTTTAGTTCATCTTTGTTGGTTTGCGCCGTAAACCGTCCACCGCCGCTGCGAGAGTGCGACACCTCTTTGTAGGTTTATCCTGAAAACCTTCCGTTTTGCTCACGAGACGGGTAGTTATCCTCATATCGATCTAAATCGGTCTAGAGGCTGATTTTGATCTCTAAATTGGCTCCGCTAGCCGGTTTAACTTTTCTTTTTGCAAAACCCATCTTGATTTGGCCTTTTGGCTAGATCGAGGTGGTTGGCGACTCCATATCACCGCAAGGCGTTTAGGTGTTGCGATCGTGCTTATCGACTTGTCACAAAAAGTTGCTAACAATATTTAATAATTATTTTAATAGACCTAATTTGATAATGTAAGTATTACTATATTTGTCTGTAAACTTAGTTAAATTTGAAGCGGTTTAACTTTGACCAAAGTTAAAACATCCTAGAACCTAAAACATAGGGAATACTATTAAATCCAAATAACACTTTCAAAGAATTCAAAGAGCAATTTAGTAGGATTCAAATCCTACATAAATTTTACTAGAGTAAATTACACTCACGGTACATGAACTTGCGTGGTGGATGCAAATAGGTACAACAAGTTGCAAAGTGCTTATTTCAGTACAATAACTCGTCTATATTGTGCGAATTGGACAAAAATGATCCAAACAAGCAAAATTGTTAGAACTTAGCATGTACTGATGAGGTAGCAGTTTAATTTACATACTTATTATGTTTTGGAGATCTTATTTGCAATCCAAATAAAAAGAGAAATTAGTGATGCAAAAGTTTGTTTCATTTCATTTCTGAGGAATTTTCGTTCCTTCATAAGTCATCTTATGTTTATTTATATCTTTAGGGCCAAGACAAAATCTGGCGTGGCATAGTGCAAGTAACACTAGGAAATTCATTTTAATTTCTATGTCTAGAATTTCCATTTTATTGAAAGTTTATTTTCATGACCGGACATGTTTAATTGTTTTGGTTCTTTTATTAATCTAAATCTTAAAAATATCATACGGATAATAACAACACATTTTGTATCTTTAAATTTTTATGTGTAATAAAAATTACTTATCATTATGCGTCAGGCTAGATCAATTTTGCTTGTGTGGATCGTTTTGACCTAGGTTCGCACGGACTAGCAAAGTTATTGTACCGAAATAAGCAATTTGCAAGTTGTTGTTCCTATTTATACCCACTACACAAGTTCATATACCATGAACGTAGTTTACTCATTTTACTACTTAGTCCTTTGATACAAACGATTGTAGTCTTCTAAATCTTATAAAATTCATGTGAAATGACTCATTATTACATAGATTTTGATGGAAAATTAGCATAACTTCAAATTTTTTAAAAGCATTCATTTGAGTTTTTCTCCCTCATCCAATTCGACAATTATATCAAAATCCTTTTTTTTCTATTCCTACGTTTTTTGCTGCTAGTAAGTTTTAAAAGGGGTCTTAGCCACACACACCGTCATTAGTTGTGCCGTAGTTACTGCAATCGAGTTTAAACGCGCCATCGCACACATATAAAATGCCATATATGCATCCACTCCTCGTCTCCTCCGGTTTCATCACTCGCGATCGATCACGTTTTCAAAACGACTCACGAGACCAAAACCGCGCCCGCGCCGGAAATGGCCAGGATCGCCGCCGTCGCCGCGACTCTTCTCCTCGCCGCCGCCGTCGCCGCGACAACCTTGCCGACGACGTCGCCGGCGCGCGGCATCCGCCTTCTGGAGGGAGGAAGATCAAGCCCCGCCGCCGCCGTCGACGACGAGGAGGTCGCGACCGCGGCCGTGGCCCCGACGTCGGCGGGCGCCGCCTCGGAGGCCCCCTTGTCGCTGATGTGGTGGCTGGTCATGGCGCTTCGTGACGGAGGCAGCGCCGCCGCCATGTCCGAGGGAGCGGCGGCCGCCGCGCCGTCGCCGGCAGAGATGTACGGTGACGAACTAGGCGACCTCGAGAACAAGGTGCCGGTGATAGGGCCGTAGACGAAGGGCGTATCGTACGGCCGGGATGATGCTGCCGCGAGTTAATTTATACGTTTCAATGTTCACTGCTCCCTCCGTCCCATTTTCACGCCTAACTTTAATCGTCTGTTTTTTTATAATTTATATCTTTATTGTTATGAGATGATAAAACATGAATAGTATTTTATGTGTGACTTATATTTTTAATTTTTTTAAAAAAATTGAATAAGATGAATGGTTAAAGTTGTACGCGGAAAATTATGGCTGCATTCAAAATGAAATGGGGGAGTATGAAGCAAGAGCGATCATTAGGCTGCTAATTAACGTACGTTTCAGTATTTAATTTGTAAACGGACGTGCTAACTAAACATATAAACTTTGTTACCGTAATAATATATTAGTTGACGTTTATACATTTGTGTAGCTCTAAATTTGCCTATTCTTTTTTCTTGTTTTCAATTTGTTCTTCACTTCTTCTGCTTCAGTTTTGGACTTCAAATATGATCAGATGCATGCAATTGGATACGTAATTAACCAATTTTGATCCAGTAAACAAGCATTTATTACTTTTCTAATTGAGAGTTACGGAAAGCATTTAAACGCGTAATCGAGCTCTAAATAATGTTGAGTATCGTTTCTTTCTGAGGTTTTAAATATATGCAACGTAACGCATAATGACCTGGATAATTAACGGTGCTAGTATTTTGATCAAACGCTTAAACCTAACGATTCTTAAAAATAATTCATCCCATCAAAGTATCTCTCTGAAAAGAAAAATAATATCAAGCTTATCTAGCTAATGAAAAATAATAACTTTGATTAAGCTTTTTTTAAAAAATTAATGGTAGTCTACTCTACTCTACCTACAAACAGTCCTAACGGGATTTTTTTTTTCATTTTAATTTTTTAATATTTACAGAAATATTATACCGACGAAAATATTTACAGAAATAGACCCTGCCATCCAAGTATAGAGCAGCAAGGTGACATGGCACACGGCGCCGTGTGCGTATTTTGCGCTGAGGTCCCTTGCTGTTAAATGCAGTTTTTGCCTGCTCAGCGGCCTCCCCGAGGGCGGTAGGGTATATTTCTGTAAATATTTTCGTCAGTATAATATTTCTGTAAATATTAAAAATAAAAATTTTAAAATGAAAAAAAATTCGTCCTAACGGAAGCAGAAGCCCACTAGATTAGCTAGAACACCCGGCCCATGGGCTTGGCCTACCCACTTGATATTCCAGGCCCATTAAGCCCAACCCAGCGAAGCGAAACATATCCCACCCACCCCACCGTCTCTCTCCATTTGGACTCCGATTCCACGCCGACGTCGCCGCCTGATCGTCTCCGGCGCCGGCGATCCCAACCGCCGCAACCACCGCCTCTCCCTCCTCCTCCTCCTCCGGTAGGTGCTCGCGGCCGCTCGACGGCCACGCACGTGCTCGTGTCTCGCTGTCCCGTCCGCCGCCTCTTCTCCACTCCCCCACGCTTCCGCTCCAGATCTGCCTCTCCGCCCGCCCGGATCTAGCCACCGGTTCGCCGGCGCCGCCGCTCGGGAGCTGAACCGTGTGGCCGAGTGGCGACCTCTCCTACCGCGTAGCCATGGTAAGATCCGTTCATTCTAGCCGGTTTCGTGGTCTGTGTAGCGAGCGCTGTGTTTGCTTGCGCGGGGGGAGGAGGATGATCTCGGAGGAGATTAGTGGTAGGAATGGATCTAGTGTTGGGACTGAGATGGATGAACTTTCTGCCATTTGCTGTTGTTGGTCTTCTGCAGATCAATTTCGTGCTCCTGATCAGCCGCCAGGGCAAGGTGAGGCTTACCAAGTGGTACTCGCCTTACACCCAGAAGGAGAGGACTAAGGTCAGCATCCTGTACTGAATTCTGTACCAACACTGATCATATGATGCTGTTGCTGTTTCTCTGCTCTTTGAGCATCACTAGCGGTGGCTGTTGCTTCTGTTCAATAGTTAGACGATATGCTTTGTAGTTCGTGTGATCCATGTGCCGTGGCAGGGTTTGCAACTTAGGCTGTTTTTGCTTAAATGTACACTAATTAAACAAGCATATTATTCTGTTCTAGGATCTGTCTGTATTTAGCACCCATGTTTCAGTGGACCTTATGATGATGATGATTCTTGTCTCATGCTCAAAGGCACGGTATTGGTTCTTTTTTGGTTCCACTTGTGGGTTTAATGTTTGCGGAAACCCGAAAGATCTGTTCTGAGCCCATGAATAACACTGTAGGTGCCCACTGAACATTCTTGACAGAATACACAAAGCCTCTTCATTTTATTATTCTTGGGTTTGCAGTGCCCAATTGCTTATGTTCTGTTGGTGAGCTGCACTGTACTGTTTATCTTGTATGTAATTTTCTACACTTGTTGAAAAGGTTATCCGTGAGCTCAGTGGGCTCATTCTAACACGCGGGCCAAAACTCTGCAACTTTGTTGAGTGGAAGGGTTACAAGGTTGTGTACAGAAGGTATGATTCCAGCATGTCATTGGTGTTCTATTGTTTGACTAATCGGTTATGTTGCTTCGTGGTATCTTCTAAATTAGCTATTTTATGTTCTGTTTATAATTATGGTGGCAAGGTATGCGAGCCTGTATTTCTGCATGTGCATTGATGCTGAGGACAATGAGCTCGAGGTCCTTGAAATTATCCATCACTTCGTTGAAGTACTGGACCGATATTTTGGCAGCGTGAGTGCTTTGATGCTGTTTATCATGTAGCTTCTCTTTCATTTGCTTGTTGTACTGCTGTTTTGAGTCCTTGTTTCAACCTCATTAGGTATGCGAGCTGGATTTGATATTCAATTTCCACAAGGTAATATCTTTTGGTTCTATTGAAGTTGCTACTACAGAGGATCTAGGATTGGAATTTACATGATTCTTCTTGCTAGTCTATTGTCATGTTTACAGGACTCGTGTTCATGATTTTCAATGATTCATTTTTGCAGGCCTACTACATACTTGATGAAATTCTCATCGCTGGTGAGCTTCAAGAATCTAGCAAGAAAAATGTTGCAAGACTAATTGCTGCACAGGTACAATTTCTGACCATAGCTAACCTAAACTCCGTATTTTTCCTGTTTCCATGGCTATGGAAAAGCATATGGTTTGGGTGGTAGAATATATCTGATCTTTTCTGTCTTCAATTTAGATCTGTTTTTTTTTTGTTTCATATGACTTCTTCATCTAAAAGCTCTTTCGTTTCTACTTGACCTTTTTCTCTTTTCTCTTTACATCTAATTTAAGTTTAACATGTGTACCAAGCTATGAACCAACTTGCAAGTCCTACTTTGTTGTCCATGATGCACACACCATGTACAAGAAGAAAGAACTATGTCCTTTAGAAAAGTTTGTAGTTCTATTTTCTCCTAACAATTGCTTCCCAATTCAACAGGATTCATTGGTAGAGGCAGCTAAAGAGGAAGCTAGCTCTATAAGCAACATCATTGCCCAGGCTACAAAATAAAATTCTACTCCAGTCTGATGTTTGCTCTCTTTTGTTGTGTTATATTGGTAAATGCAATGTACTAGTCCATTTGGTCTGTTCAGTTTTCTAAGATACGTCTTTCAAGGTGCCAGGATTAAGAATGAACATGATGTAACTACACTGTATCCGCTATTTTGAACCGAAGTCGGATTTTCTAAGAGAAAATGTGCATGAGAGTTGATCATGGAGAGTGCATTATCTTGAGCAGTTGTGATTATTCCACTTATTGTTCGCCTTCTGTATTGCAATGCGTGTAAACATCAGTTATCAACGTCCCTGATAGCTTTATATTACATGCAACACCTGGGTAAGATGAAATAGAGCTTAGGTTGTACCTTGCTGTTGGCACATGTGAATGTGTTTGTGAACACTCATTGATTGTATACTGGTATATGTGCATCCTGAATATCCTTTTCACTTATCCACCACATTGCCCGTTCAGTTGCTCTCTGCATGCTCACTTCAAATTGGAATTCACTTCTTCACCCACTATTCCCCTAACCCAAGGAAAATGTCACACTTTCATTCGTTTTCACTTCTCGGGGCTTGTTTGCCTCTATAAACACCTGCACTATTGTTTCCTTTCTTTTCTTTCTTGATGATCTTTAGCCTCTGATATCAACGAGAAGTTGTGACCTACCGACTCTGAGTGAGCAAGAAAAATAGAGTGAGCATGGGAGCCGTTGGGAGAGCAAGCATTAGGACATCAACATATCAAAGCTACCGTTCACTTGTCTTTGCATGCAGAGAGTGGAAACTTTGGGCAAAGATGCCTTGCACTAGAGGCAAGCCAGCTACACTGTGTGACTGATAATGTTGAAGATGAGACAACTCATCCACACCGAGTAGTTGATCAGGTTGAACATGAGAGACGGCCTTGCTGCCTCCAGTGTGGATCATGGCGACCCTGATGTTGCATACTAGAACAATAGGCCGCAGTTCGATTCCCCGCGTTGCCCACAAGGCCTGGGCAACGCCGATGCTACATACTAGTCGCACGATTGGAAGCATTGGCTGCTCGAGGAGTCGGCGCTGCCCTCGTACCCATTCTTATCGACCCCTTTAATTGTTCTAATTTTGGAGTGTTCATGCAAAGTTTGATTCTCGGTTGGTAGTGACAATCCTCCTGTACGGTGTCCTATCTTGTCAGATGTCTTACTCAAATTTAATATTGCCATCTTATATAGTATTGGTTATATTGGATCTTTGAACTTTTTTCTTGAGTTTAATACAAATCCCTTTGTCAATCAATATTAACTAAAAGCCATATGCATATTAATAGACTATAAACACAGTTAGTTTTCACATTTTAACGACCTATGTCAATGTCAATCATTTTGCACTATAGAATAATCTTGTATATAAGGTAAGAATTCGAGGGTTTGAAAGGTATCAACCTTTGCTAGCTTCCTCTCCATTGTCAATTTGTCAGTATCAATGCTCAAAAGTTGACAGCATCCATCCACAGTACGACGCTGCATGCCTCTCCTCAGTTCTTGATTCTAGGCTACCTGATAACAACATAATCCTCTCTCTCGATCTCGATGTTGTGGCTTCAAAAAGGAAAGATGATTTTTGAGAATGGAAGGCATCGAGAGAACACTTGCAATTATAGCAAATAAGAGATGTTGTAACTATGTCGTTCTTGGACTTTGATACTACTTGTGAATGGCTGTGGCCCTCCATCGCACGACCATTCTCTCTACATTTGTTTTCTTTGCTTCTCACCAGCTCCGATATTTCTTAAAGAGTTAATTTTGATTTTTTTGCTGTAATTTATTTTTCATCATTAGCTTTTAAATTGCTATGAACACATATATAAAAGTTCTTTCAAAAAATTATTTTGGTAGCTAATAAACGATGTAGGTGAAATGATAGCACTTGCATGTGGTTTGAACTCCAATGTCCCTTCAATTCTCATGAGGCTCACATGTCAAACTTGTGCATCTAAAACAGGTTCAGTTGGCCGGGAACATATCTTATGCACACAACTAACAAATATCACCGAAAATATTTAGAAAATATTGTGCATATACTTCCAATATTGTTACACATATGTGTAAAATCTTAACCTCAAATCCATTATATTTTAACCTAAAAAATAAATATTATAAGTCCATCAGAATTTATCTTTTTTCCCTCTTTATATAGGATGAATTTGATGATGGGACTTCACACTTAGATGTAATATTATTGAAAGCACATGCATAACATTTTTTTAATTTTTAGTGATATTTTTTAGTTTTTTTAAACTAAACTGGCATGAGAACTGCCAATTATATTTCATTAAACAGAGTAAAAACCCACGGTCTACAGAAAAAGAAAAACAACCTCTCGACGAGTAGAGACTCGCCGAGTCCTTTATCCGCGGCCGGTACAACCATACAACACACGGAGCTCCACACAACTCTAGCCAAACTATCAACGAAACAATGGCGGAATCCAACAACGAATATCGACGTCGAGATGCTGAAGAAGCGGCACACAACGTTGACGTCACAAGGCACGTGTCATCGTTGCCGAGCTTGCCGCCCAACGACCGAGCAGCTCCGACTCCACGGTGATCACGACATCATTGGAGGCACCACCAAACCGAGCAAAGCAACACCAAGCTCACACTTTGGACATCAACCAAGCCCCTGAAGCGCCAAAACATGCACTGGCAACACCCACATCCCTAGAGAGAAACTGCAGATGTTATCATTGTCAAGCTTCGTTGCACCCCAACGACATAGTAGTTCCGACTCTACCCGATAGAGACAACCGAAGAAGTTGGATGCCACCAATACAAGAAATGAGCCAAGAAGGAGAAGGCCTCACCAAACACCTAGGCATCCAATGCATCGAGCTGACACAGGAGTCCACCAACAGTAAACGATGCATGGGTAAGGTTCTCCAAGACGATGCCCCCAAGAAGGATATGACATGAAACGCCACCACCGTCCGTCCGGAAACCGGATTATAGTTTTCAACTGGAGATTGGTAGCGGTGAAGAAAACGCCATAACGACGCCTTCAAAACGGGAACAATGCCAAAGGTGTCGCCGTCGTCATGCCAGCCAAAGGCTAAGCAAGGCTTTCGCCAATGATTTCCATCCAGAGCCACTACCGACCCACACAACAACCGTCGCCGAACCACCACATAATCTCTTTAGCCATCAGTTAGACCAGTTCACCACCCCACGGCTCAGGTAGACTCACAGGCCTGCTCCCGCACGTTGCCATGGCATTGCCATCCTCTGCACAAGCCGCCGGGTCCACCCTCTCCTGGAGCTCCCCATGGCCAAGACAAGATCTGGCCATAGGAGAGGAGGGGCTCCACGAAGAGTGGTTTGCTCAGCTAGCTGGGAAGACGGGACACCACCACCGCCAACCGCTTCCCCGCGCACACCACCAGGCCAGAGAGAGGCAGCTCCTCCCCCATGCGCCCTTGACGCACGCCGCTGAGCTAGGGGTGACAACTCCTCCCCTCGCCGCCGCGGTCCCCGCTGCTCGATCCTCGGGCCACCGCCTCCACGTGGCCCTCACGCCGCGGCAGCCGCCGCCACCTCCGCGCGGCCCTTGCGCCGCGGCCACTGCCTCTGAGCGGCCCTCTCACCGCCGCCTCCGCCACCGCGCCGCGCCACTACCGACCCGCGCGGCTCAGCCCAGATCCAGCCAAGGGGGACCGAATTCGAACTCGACAGCGTCGGATCTAGCCATCGTCACCAGGGCCGCGCTCTCGTCCTCCGGTCTCGTCGGCGCCCCAACCGGTTGACCATGAGTGAGGGAGAAGGGGGAGTCCCGCCGTCGCCGTCTTTGCAGCTGCCCGGCTTGGCAGCGTGGCGGGGGAGAGGAGGGGAAGGGAGGGGGCGACGGCGAGGTTACGCCACCAACGTAACCTAATTGAGTTCGGATATTTTTTAGTTGGTGTGTATGGTATATACACGTGAAGCCTTGTGTGCATATGATACGTTTTCCCAGTTAATCAGCTCCACACAAACGAGCTTGACTAGATACTAAACGGAACCAAACGTGCACCCCATGTTCAACTAAGGTCGGCATATATGTAGAACCTTTTCAAGTTCTGAGTTTCTTCTTTCCTTTTAGCTAAGTTTTCATCAATACTTAGCTCCGGTGGCAGATTGGTGAAGCACATGAACAAAAAATTTAATTTTACCCCGGTCTTTGGAGGGTAGCAAAGTACCTAATTGAGTATGCAAAACACAATCTGAACTCTCTGAAAAATATGTGTGATCTTTTTGTTGTCCTAAATTTGTCCCATAGAACATGACGTGATCTTGTTGTTGTCCTAAATTTGTCCCATAGAACATGACACAACAATATCATTGAGCGTATTAATTAGCACCTAGGAACTTGGAAGAGACTACGCTAATCTTAGTTACACACACTCGAGAAGGTTGCAGCAGCTTATACACACTGTATTAAGCTGCGACATGATATATTCCCTTTTTCCCTGGAAACTACGAATTCCCTAGAAGCTCAACGAGTGTTGGGCTTGGCTGTCATGTTTCCGCCGCCTTTGCTAGCTTAGGTTAGTTGTTGAGTGTTATTGTAGTTGTGATTTTGTCCAGTTTTTCTTAATGAACTTTGTACGGTAAGATTTGGTCTCGTTTCTTTTTAAAATGGACACCTTCTTATTTATATAAAACATTGGCAACGACCTTACCATTCGGGAAGGAAAAAAAACCAATTAATCAATCCCTACAACACAAGAATTAGGTAGATGTATTTGGGAACACTCATTGATTTATATGTACATTCTGCTTTTTTATTTCCCCTCTTCCATCTTCCCCATTGCCCATTCAATTGCCATCTGCCTGATCATGAGAGGGAATTTACTTCTTCAACTGCTAGACCCCTGACCTGATGAACTCCTTTATAAACACAAGCTTGTAGCTTCCCTCTTTCTCGACGACCCTACTCTGAGTGAGAAAGAAATTAAACAGGGACAAACCATCGCGACTTATGAGTATGGAAGGCGTCAGGAGAGCAAGCCCTTGAAAACCAATCAATTGGAGCTATCCTGTGCAGATTTTTGCATGCATCTTGATGAGCCATCTCAAAGAAGAAGTGCAGTTTGGCGTGCTAATCTTGTTCATCTTGATCCACGGAGCTAGCCTAACAACGGTGGTCTTGGCAGGATTAGCCTTCGCCGAGTTGGTCGTCTCACAGTTGATCTCGGCAGCCTAGCAGTGTCCTTCAACCACGCTCGGAC